TTAAGCTATTTTTAGACCTTAACCTAAACAAAACAAATTAGATAATTAATTAAATTATTACTAATAAGTATCTAAATAATAAATTTATTTAAGAAACTTTAGACCTGCTCTAAAACAGCGCTAGTTAGTTAAAGAAAGTAACACTAGCTAACTATAAAAACTAAAATAGTAAGCTATATTACTATAACTAACTTATAATCTCTAATTCTAATAAACTAAGAATTAAACTACTCTAAATTATACACAACTTACCTGTTAAAAAACACCTAGGCAGAGAAAAGACTCTTAACCTACTATAGAGAGAGTACTACTAGCCCTGCATGTTCTATACTGTACGCTAATACATATTATGTTGCTATACTTGCTGTAAAGTAAAGGCCTCTTAAGAAAAGTATAATAGCCTGCTTAAACTGCTCCTAATCTTTAAATAAGCTTAAAAAGACATATTAATTAATTTTATTATAAACCTACTCTTATTTAAAAGGTACATAAATATTATAGTAGTTGTTAATTACTTAACTAAGTATTAACACTTAATAATATGTTCCTCTATAACTGCCTCTAATATAGCCTAGTTATTCTACTAATACGTATAAGTTTACTATAGCCTGCCTAACATAATTATATTAGACAGAGGTACACAGTTTGTCTTAGCCTTTTAGGACAAACTCTGTAAATAGCTCTAAATTATCCTTTATCTATTTACAGCTTTTTACCTAGAGACTAACAGCTAGACTAAGAACGCAAACACTATAATAAAATAAGTCCTATAAGTGTACACAAACTACTAGTAGAATAACTAGGTAAAATAGTTAGCTATAGCATAGTTTAAAGCTAATAACATAATATCTAAATTAACATAAGTATCTTTGTTCTTAGTAAACTATAGATACTACCCCTAAATAAGATTTAAACTACTTATAAATACCCCCTAACTAACTTATTAATCTGTATAAGTAATAGATGTAAATAGACTTATTAACAAAATCTAAAACATATCTAAATACATTTATAAAAAGCTTACATAGGCTTAAGCTTTTTAATAAGAGTACGTAAACTAATTTTAAACCTCTGCCCCTGCGTATGCAGCTAGCAAGAAGGTCTAGCTAGACGCTAGAAATATCTAAATAAACTAATAATTAAAGAAACTTAATTAGAAGAACCTTAGCCTCTTTATAGTAGCCTATATAGTCTTATTGCACACTTACTAATTAATCCTACCTAACAGCATAAAGATACACCCTGTGTTCCACATATTATTGCTGCGCTAAGCAGCCCCTAAATTTAACTATCTACCTAGACAGCTAAACCTACTACTTAAACTTGTTATTATAAATAATAAACTAGAATATGTTGTAAAAGACGTTAAATAGATCTAGTTTAATAAAAAAAAACATACCTATAAATACCTTATAAAATAGACTAGATATAATAAACTGTTGTAGGAACCTATAGAAGCCTTGTAAGAGAACTCTGCAGTAACCTAATTCTACGCCTAATACCTATCTAAACTAAACCTGTACCTTAACAAAAACAACTTAATGCTAGAACTACTAATGTAAAGGATTCCTTTTCTAATAAGAGGGGGGGTACTGTTATAGTATCCTCCCTAGATCCTAGACATAACTGTATTAGACGTGTACTAGAGTATTATTAGTGCACATCTAACATAAACATAACACAACATAGACATAAACTTAAGCATAAACTACTTTAACACTAACTAAACTTAGAACAGGCTTAATTTATACTTAAAGCACTTAGACTTTTAAGCTAAGTATTTAATTACTAATTTTTTTTAAACTTTCTTGTTCCTCACATAACGTCTTGTACCTACTATGATACCTCACGTAGTAATTGAACTAGACCTCCGCAAAGCTCTATAACCTTACTCGTGCATAATCGTGACAATAAGCCTGTCGCACATATATAACCTACGCTTACTAAATAAAGTCTTAGACGCGTAGTTTACTAACTACTTTAAATACTATAAGCTAGAGTAAGTAAGAAGTGCTACAGCTAATCTAAGGCCTAATTAGAGTAGGACCTACGCATATAGCTATTGCGCCTACCTACTTAATAGAGAACAAGCAGCTAGGCGTTAGAAGTAAAGCTTTAAAGTAACTCTATAGAGCTACATAGAATATCTTATAAGCTATAGAGCCTTAAATATCTACAAAATATAAGTTCTGTTGCTTAACTAGGTAATTACTATAAGAAACATAGCTTTTAATAAGACACACTTTTATAAAAATAAAGGTAATAAACTAATTCTCTAAGAAAAAGCCTTTAAAATTATTAAAATTCTTAATAAGTAAAGTAAGATTTATAATATAAAAAAAGCCTTTAAGCTTCTACCTTAAAGGTTAGATAAGTAGTAAAGTAATATACTAAATTAGAGGCCCTAAGAGCATAAGCTTAGAAGTGTAGAAACTAAAAAGCTTATTAGAACTTAGGTTAGCTAGCTAGAGAATTAGCACTTAGAGGTAAAAGTAACTACGTAGGTAATAAGTATAATAAGTAAGTTGCTAAGGATTTACACAGTTCCTAATAAATGTATAGCACTTATTACCCTAGAGCTAACTCCTAAGCTAGAGCTTGCAGATAGCTCTACAACACGCCCTATACAGGGTAGGCACAAGCATACTAGTAATCCCTAGTAAGTGCACTTAACTAGAGAAGCAGATCTACTAGGCTTATTAAGTTAAATAGCTAACTTACTAGTTAAAAAATTAACTCTTACCTTTTACACTAAAACATTGTCTTCTATAGCTCTAGTTAAAGCAGGTAAGGCACCTTCTAAATATGTGTATAATAAAAAGAGCTAGGGACTAGCCACACACATAAGCTAAAGAATATAGAGGCAAGATCCTAATAACTTAGGTAAGCCTAGGGGTGCAGGAAGCAGAGGTATATATACAACGCTCTTAGAAAGAAGCAGTATACGCCTAGCTCTAGTTAATCTAGAGCACTTTTAAATAAACTTCCTTAAAGCATTTATTACTTATAATAATAAAGCGCTTAAAACACTCTACATAGTGTTTTTTATAGCTGCCTTTTTTAGGCAGCCTTAACTAAGAGCTTATAAGCTTTTAAAAAAACCCTTAAAATAAAAAGATCTATATAAACACTTATATAAAGATCTTTTTAAGATTGCAGCATAAAAAAAGATAGCTACCCTGCTTAAAAAAGGCACTTAAAAAGAGATTATATAATTTAAAGCAATGTCTAAGCTGCTTCTACTAAAGTAGGTATTTACATACAAATTTAACTAGAATAAGTATTTTGCTAAATGCAAAGCTTACATATGCGTACATAGTAATCTCTAGAGCAAGGACTTGCTCTAGTTAACTTATGCTGCTACTCTTACAGCTAGATCCTTTTAAACAGTAATAGTAATAGCAGCTTAATTTAACCTAAAGATTAAGTAATATAATGTTATAAGCACATTTTTAAACGCGCACTGTAAAGGTAAGCTAAAAGTAACATGCAAGCTCCTAAAAGGCTTTATAAAGCCTAGCATGTGTGTTAAGCTTCTCTAAGCCCTATATAAACTGCGTAACTTACTAATCTTGTAGTACTAGGAGCTCTTATAGGCTTTTTAAAAGCTTAAGCTTAGCTTATCTAAAGAAAAGCTGTGCCTATTTTTTAACTATAATTACTAAATCTTACTTCTTTTTTATGTAGACAATATACTTTATATTTATTACTATAATAATAAGTTAGAAGCTTACTAATTAATTAGTGTAATTAAAAAAATGTATAAGCTAGAAAATTAAAGGCTGTGTAAATAGTTTCTAAAGATTAAAATAATTAAAAATAGAAAGGCTAGAATAATCTAGCTAGTACACAATATGTATATTAAAAAAGTAGTAAAGAAGTTTAACTTTATAAAAAGCGCGCTCTTCCTAGAGACTCCTCTACTATTAGAAGAGCTTACAAGCAACTAGGGATTAGCAATAAAGTAGGAAATTAAGGAATACTAAAAGCGCGTAGGATTAACACTATATACCACAATTATAGTGCGCCTAGATGTAGCGTTTGCGGCATCCTAGCTCTTCTACTACCTAATAAACCTAGGAAAGCAGCACTTCTAGGCAGTAAACTAGACAATTATGTACCTGTACTGCACAAGGCATACAGGCATATAGTATAGAGCACTAAAAGGCGCGTAACTTATTATGTGTAGAGACGTGTCTTTTGCTAATTACATAAAGACTAGATAATTATTTTATAGATATATTATCTTACTTTTTAGAAAACTAATTCTATAAAAAGCAGCTCTCTAGCTAACAGTAACTATGTTTATAATAGAGGCTAAGCTGCTTACTTTAGCACACATTATAAAGGAATTGCTAGCTTTAAAACGCTTTTTTAAAGAGCTTACCCTAGAGCTAGGCACACTATAGCAGATCTACTGTAATAACTAGCAGACAATTAGGTTAGTAGTAGAGAAGAACACCTAGATAACTACCTGCCTGCGCCACATTAATATTTAGAACATGTGGCTGCGCTAGGAGCACGCAAAGAGATCTTTTAAAGTGCGCTATATTAAAACAAGCAACATGCTAGTAGATAGGCTTATAAAGCACCTGCTAAGGCAGTAATTTAAGCACTTTAAGCAGCTTTTTAACTTTAAAGACACGTAAATAAGCTTCTAAGAGAAAAAAGTGTTAATTATTAATAGTAGGGACATCTTTATACTGCCTAGGAACAAGAGTTCTATCTACTAGCAAGGACACTCCCCTATGCTATAGAGTTTAAGCAGGGATTTAATACATAAGATGCGCGAAAACACAGAAAACACAGAACGCCTAAACTATAAGGAGATTAACAAGCTCACCTAAGAGCTCCTTAGCGCGCTGGCGACGCGCCAGGAGCCCAGGGGAGACAACACCCTGCTCCTCCTCCTCCACCTCCTCCACCTCCTCTTCCACCTCCTCCTCCTCCTCCTCCTCCTCTTCCTCCGCCTCTCCCTCCTCCTCCTCCACCACATCTTCCTCAAGCAGAGCTCGAAGAACCAGCTGAAGCTAGGACGCAGCCTATAGCCTGTTAGTCTAATCTAAGGTATGACGCACAATCTCTGCAGAGAAGCTTACCCGCTCGTCCTCCGCAACAAGCGCTGCAACAAAGCGCCGCGCATAGACAACAGCAACAGGGGGACTGCAAATAAGTTAAAAGCTAGATTACCCTACACACTGCTACAAGGCTTATAGGGGCAGGCAGCTGTGCCTAGAGGAACAGCGCCAGCAGCGCGAACCGCTAGTGGCGGAATCATGGCACTCCCCACTGGAGCGCCCCGCGAGCGCACTCTTTATGCAGCCCAGACAGGACTGCGCGCGGAGCGCACCAGGGGGAGGCCGGCGGGGGGTGGTGGGCGCAGGGCGACGGGAGGTGGTGGGCGCGGGCTTGCGGATACGCGCAGGCCGGCGGGGGGGGGTGGGCGCAGCGCGGCGGGGGGTACTGGGCGCGGGCTTGCGGGCAGCGCGGCCCCGCAGAGCGGCGGCACGCGAGCGGGCGGCTCTTTTAGCTTTGTTAAGCTACAGATGCACGTTAGCAGAGATCGCAGACAGGTTTAAAGTTTAGTCTTAGAGCTCTTAAAAGGATTAACTTACACGTGGCATGTTAGTTAGACTTACAGAAGAGAAGCTTAAGAAGTAGGAGAATTTATTTACCTCTGTTGCGGCGATCACAGCACGCACGTGACCTGCGCTGCCTAGGGAAACAAGCATCGCGCTGCCTGGGGCAACAAGCACAAACACAGGGTAAACGCACAACGCTGCTCCAACAAGCCAAGTTGACGCTCAACGCAGGTGAGCTGCTGCGCAGCTCACCTGGGGGGTGTGTCGCGTATACTGAGAGCCTTGGCTGGGGCTCGGAGCCTGGGACTGGGGGCTCAGAGCCTGGGACGCAGCTCGGGATCTGGAGATATTATGTTCCGAAGCTCGGTGTATATAAGGAGAGCCTTCGGCTCTCTTAGAGAGCAGAGTCACTTCATCCGATCTTCTGAACAGCTACTGCCAGGCTATTTTATCCTCCACAATTGCCATAGAGCTTCTCCTTTTACAGCCTATCGTTAATCTGCTCCGGTGTCTATAATCCACTATGAAACATCTGTTACGCCTCAAGCCGTGAATTATTCAGTTGTAACTGAAATCTCCAAATATGTCAAATGGGAGTTGGACATGAGCGCATCTGTGGTTGTCCTAGGTTTGAGCACCGCACCGTCACCCGGCACAGCTTGACAAGATGCGAGTACCGCCGAGCGAAAGATTTATTACGGTGCTTCACAGAAATTGAGTTGAAGAGGGTGGAAGGTGATCTAGTGGATAAACACAATATGTGTAACGCTAAACAGATTTATAATTCAGAATGAAGCGGCAAAGGGTTAGCCTAATGGCTGGTGCGTCTCCACGAAATGAAGGGGCATTAATCCTCAGAGGAGAAGTCCACTGAGTCCGAATGGACGAAAGGGGTTGAAGACGCTCAAATGCTAGGAGGCATCGGGAGGAGTTAGCAAGTGCTTAAGAGGTTGTTGAGGTCAGGTGGGGCGGGAATACCCCCAGACGATTATCGTGATATATGGGACTGGTGTGGTTTATTACTTGGAAGCGTGTGCGACCTTGGGTGGGTAATCGAAAAGATCAACCACATGGTAGCTGATCCCCTAATTTTACAGGAGCAGACGAGGCTTGGAAACGGGAACCCCTTCACATCCTGCTCAGAATACTGTGGCCAAGTGTCTTTCTTAAATTCTCCTATCGGCATGTGACCATTCGGAGGACCGAAGCCTCTGCGTATATACAAGATTAACTCCAGAAATTGTTCCCTTTACATGGCTCTTCGACATTTGTTTCGCGCTAACCTTTTGTAGCAGATCTATACATTTTTGTGATCTCCTCAAAGCGGCTAGCACAATGAACCCAGAGCATTGTAACCCTTGGACACCAAGGCAGCAGTCTCGTATAGCCTCCGAGTCGTGGGTGTAGAACAGCGGTGGGTGCAAGCGAATGGTTGAACGTGATCAATTTGTTCCTCCACAAAAGAGGTAAGGATCGTCCCGTCAACGAGTCTCCATAGGCTTGGACAAGAAGGTTGCGTTGTCAACCTCGCTGTGCCTCAGCCACGACGTCTCAGAATTATTGGCCCCAAGCGCTTGATGCATCACGCCACAGGCAACGAGACAAGAACCAGCAGGACCAAAATTCTTACTCAAAGGAAGTTCTTGTGATTCAAGACACAAATTTCGTTCTCAGCGCAGCATTAGTGGCGTCTTCCATTCCCCTTGATATTTGGTCCATTACGTTCGCAGATGATGGGATACTCGATGCGTTTCCGAAGGAACTTCTCTGAATATTCAGCCTTACTGGCGTCAAATATTGAGCCACACTAAGCCACACTCGTCCTTCATGCATGCAGGCACTCATTGCAAGACTTGATTGCAAGACTTGAGCAGGGTGGTAGTAGCTGCTTCCAGGTCGTTCCAGCATCCCTTGGCGAAGGTAGGACGTTAAAAACTTTGCTGCTCCAGCCTTTTTACTCTAGTTCCCTTTGGAAAGTACCCTACTGTCCTCTTCAAGCGTACTTCTTCGTATATGTTTGTGTCCCGCTATGTCGCTCATCGACACTGTTGGGGCTACCACTCTCTTGCGAGAATGCAATAAACGAAAGGCTCGAGATTTTATCGAGTCGCTCGGTCTCATAAACACCAATCCAGGACGAGCATCTGCTAGGTTTGATGATCCTAAAGTAGTTCAGCTCAATAAAAGAGTCATCGCAGCAGTCGATGCCGTGTTTGACAAAATTGGGAAAACTCGCGCTGATCGCCAGGCTCATTTGACTAATGAGGAGGTCCTCGATGACTGGATAAAAGAACTTTGTGCTGTCTTTGGGCCGGAACTCTGGGGACGATCAAACCGTAACCACCTACTCACTGCTGGATTATGTGAGTTATATCCTAAAGATCTATATTTCGATGTAGAGGAGGACCGAAAAGCGTACGTTGACTTTGCCTGTCCTTGGATGTTTCAGGGCGCTAACTAGAGGAAGAATTGAACTTTATCTTCGCTGCTGGATTGTTAAAAGAGGTTCTAGAAGGGTGGGATCTGAAAGGGGTAAAATTAGAGAAGTCCAGAATAACCAAACCGCCGGCTCATTCGAGAAGGCAAAGAAGCCTCTGGCCGGAAAGATTGTCGACGTTTCGGATTCTGACTCCTCTTCCTCATCCTCTTTCGAAACTTCCGGATCTGGATCAAGATCCACCACAGCTCGCGGTAAAATGGCCGAATCTTTTTATCGTGCTCCGCCGGCGAGAATGTACCCTACGCCGCAGCCCCAACCTATCCGAACACAACCTACTGAAGAACTATCCGTCAGAGCTACTGCGAACTCTTCTTGCGCACGAGATGCAGCTGATGATCTCATGAACGATGATCTATACGCTCCGCCATCACAGGAAACATCAAGCGAAGATGAAGAGACATTCTCATCGCGTGCTAGATTGAACAAGAGAAAGCGTAGGGACAGCGTCCATAGAACGCCACGTGGAAAGCTTCCGAAGGTCCATATAGCACGGAAAGCAGGAGTAGGCATCGATGTCTCAGATATAAGTGACCTATATTCCGTTCCACGCTCACCTTCAGCTGTTTTCACCGCTGATCCGTTCCCCACAACCTTCGATAGACGGAGGATAAGAGCATTCAATGAAGTAGAGACGTTCCCATCGAGAGAAAGTACTATCCAGGAACAAGATGCAGATAATCAAATCAACGATACCATTAGTAAGTATTCGTCCTAATTTAGCTACGCGACTCGAAGGCAGGCCGCTGACTGCAAGTATCAGACCAGATTTGGAAAGACGTGGAAGCCGCTGAGACTAGTAACCCGTCGCCTCCCTTCATTTGTCATGGTCTTCCTGCTAGTCTACTGCCGAGCTGTTCGGTCACTGACTCCGTCATTCCGAGCGACACGCAATATGATGTGATTCCTGTTCGCATTGACCTTACCGGAACCGATACGAGCATCGACACTGCAATAAATGAGCCTCGCTCCGCGACCCTTGCACCAAATAAGACAATACTTCCGGCGTTTACGGTGACAGAGGAGAATAAACTCAGGAGGGAGCTTTTCAAGCTTCTTCTGTCACGGTTCAGTGACCTAAATCAGTTCAAATCCGAACTTGACCACAAAGAGCCGGAAGACCGATTGAATATGTTACTAAACCAATTCTGGTTCAACGATCTTGAATGTCTCCGCATGACAGAAGACGACCGATTCGTCGATCTTCAAATGGCTTTCCAAAGCTGGATGGACATGCGCACTAAACTGCACGACTTTCAAATCTCCTCGGAGTATCTCGGCAAGCCGGGGGACGAGTGGCAGGCATATCTTCGTAGCTTAACTTCGACTGAACAGCGTTCTCGTGCTTGTATAGCTCTGATGGACCTCCGGGATTCCTTGGGAGATGGAAACACGATTGTGAAGGATACGTTCAACAAGAACATGATGACAATCTTTGATTTGTTGACCAAGATACCGGACTGCAACGGAGTGGAGGCATTCTGTGGACTTGCTGATTACAATAGAAAGTTGCTTGCGTGGTTTCCATAGGGCAGGAGGAGAAGCTGCATATTACATTTCAAGTAGGTACACTGTCTCTATCAGACATCACGATCTTCAATGAATTCAATTTGTATTATAAGTCTTTAGCGACTAAAGCTATAGATGTCTAGAGCTAAAGATTAATTGTACAAGCTCTCACACCTGGATTGAAGGGCACCAGTAATCTGCTATGCACAAGACCTCTTCCCGGCCACGTCCAATCCGATGCCGAATCGTAAACCTCGACTGCCCATCACTGAAACACACAAACTCCTCGCTGTCCATCTTCGCATTGCCTGCAACCTCGCCTTTCTTCAGCGCGTCGGCTCCTGCAGTGATGTTTGACGTAAATGAACTAGCCTTTCCTAATATTGCTGTGTGCTGTGTTCCTTCCCATGGTACGGTAGGATCGCTGACAATTGCGACCTCACTTGGAGCTGAATTCGTGTCGATTATCGGTCCATTCGGGTAGTATGCTACCGCTGTGTGCTTTGTCGCCGGTCTGTCATCTAGGCTGCACAAGATGAGCTGTGTGCAGTCGATTGCGTGTTTCCGTTGACAGGTGACAAGATATAGATTGTGTTTCGAGCCGAGAGCGGTGTCGATCGTTGGAGCTCCGTCTACGCAGCTGAAGAGCAGAGCGAGGGCGAAGATCGCGAGGGTTTTGGCAAACATGGTGGGCTGCCCAACCTGTACGTAGAATTTGAGGGTAGCGTTCCACGAGCTGGAAAAACGGTTTTGGTGTCCGTGTTTGTTGACCTGGCATTGGGCTATATCTACTTTCGTTCGGGCCTGTCGGCAACATCATCAAAAGTGCCACTGCCACGGGAAAATTGATCCTAAAATTGGGGCCAGCATGACGGCATTCTTCATCTAAGTTGAAGTTGCGCGACGAGTCATTGTTGAATCAATATGATCTATCAGAGCTGTGAGCCGGGTGTTCGGTCATAAGGGAAGGAATCGCAGACCCTGAGTTTTCCCGGTGCAAATCCATGCCGTGTAGGCTACAGTTCATTCGTCCATCCATTTCAACCTGCATTTTCCGTTCTCCCATTTGGCGTACTAGATGTTAATCGCAACAGAGGGGCTGCATAAGGATTGGAACAATATTTCGATGTGCACGGGGCCGCATTCACGGATGGGGAACCGAAGGATCATTGCACGAGTTCCATCCACCGGTTATCTGAAAGTGAGTGACAATATTAGGATAACCAGAGAATTGAGTTGCTGGGCACTTTCGCTAAACTCATTTTTGCTATCGCTTGATTGCCTGCAGGGACCCGTCCCAAGAAATGATGATACTCCGAAGGGAGCGGTATACAACCACGATGGGAGGAATCCCGAGTGATTCTTTGAGTCCGAAACCACGACTACGAGACATTCTCAAGTTCAAACTATTAGCTTGACTCAGTTAGAAATGGGAAGCATACAGATACCTACCCTGGAAATTTGCAGATTTGTCAACGAGCGAGTTTGTGGCGTTTTTAAGGTCTAACTTGGCTTGAGCGATTACTTATTTGAGTTAGTGGCATTTCTGTATAGGGTTACCACGTCCTAAATAGGCATAGTGTCCCTCCTCGATAATGAACTGGACTTGCTTGTTGACCAGTCTGGAAATTTGGAGCAGAGCTTCCATCCCCTCTTTCAATCCATGTACCCATATCAGAACACGCAACCATCACGAGCGTTCTCGTTGTCGTATGTTGTCTCTCTCTTCAGCTCGCCCAATCATCTGAGACTACTTCTTGGAGCTGCTGCAATCTATCTAAACTAAGTAGGTCAGAAAATTTTGACCCCTCATTCGTTGGAGTCCGACCCGTGGGCGTTATCCTCGCCGGCGGGTTATGTGGGCTTAGAGAGCCATAAATTATTCTACCACGCTTATCTTACCACGTTTATTATTCCACTGTGGATTCCCTGGTTACTTACCCTTATCATTTACAAAGCTAAAGGCCAGGCCCAGAGTGCCGCTGAGTTGCACGTCATGTGCTTCGGAGGCTGAGGCTGTTCAGATAAGACGAACGTCTAATGGGTTATCTTGGGTTCATGGGCGGCCCAAGCAAGTTCAAGGTGCGCAACATGTGGACCTAATCGGTGTGATCGACCTACGCAGGCCAACGCAGCCCCTCCTCGAAGTGGGATTTCGGGCTCAGTTAACCGCTTGCTCTTATCTATAGTTCTTTACACAACTATTTCAAACAAGAACACCTTCTTATCAAGCGCACGTATTACCATCGCGATGATCTTTGAAGTCTTTAGTACAGTGGTTTTCGCCTGAAATATAGTCCAGTTCGTGAGCTTCTCTTTCAAAGTATTTAATGAAGTGATGGCAGTTTATCATTTGCGTACTGGAATAACACGAGAGGCTGAGGATATTAAAGCCATTACCTAGAACTTAAATATTCTATGTATGAATAATTCTCGGGGTAATCGCAACTGAGGTTAAAGCTTGGCTTCGCAATAAGGTCGAACCATCTTGCTAATTCTCGTGGAAGACTAGAACTAAGGCAGCCGAATTGCTCTCATCCTTGAGGCTCCAGAAAGCTAAAAATTCTGAGTTCAAGTGGAGTAGCTTGCGAGCTGCACTTGCAGTACCCTGTGATCAACAAAGAATCGATGCTATGCGAGAGAGGCTAGAACTGATATCGCTCCTAATCGATAGTGCAACTGCAAGTAATGCAATGGTACATCTTGCCGTAGCTTTTAGCTTGCCGTTGACACTAGCTTATGAAAATGGTGGCAGACCTCCCGAAATAATCTATCAACTGAACGAATAGAAAGGGTGGCGGTTGGGTTCTGATATGACGTATCAAATCTCCAGCCTTAGAAGTGAGATTCAATATGCTGTCAAAGCTCTAAGAGCAGACCTAACTGAACGCCTATCACGAAAACCAAAATTCTTAAGAATAACAAAGAATACGCTTAAGAGTGACTTACCACACTCGATACTGCTAGTACCAAATACTGCGTCTTCATTAATGGCCTCGACGAATATATAGGTGACCACCATGAGCTCATTAACATATTCTAGTGTTGGATCAAATTTAATGTCAAACTGTGCATAGAAAATAGGCCTTGGGATGAGTAGATATGTCCCCCTCTGAAATAAGAAAGGAAATCTGCTGACATCAGTAGATCACGTGATCAGTCCTTTAGATACCTAGGTACTGACGTGGTCGAAATTGGAAGTGCCACATTAGACGAACCCAAACATCATATCCTTGGTGGGTCTTCTAATGGAGTTATTAATATTCTAGTTGGACGGAAATTGACGACCCTCATGAAGAATTTCTTTCAAGACTCATATACCAGGTGGCAGTTCACGGCCCGAGCAGCTGTGCGACCAGTACACCGCTCTCCGAAGTAAAAATGATGGAATTTGTCCAAGAAGATTTCCGTATAGCTGGATAGCTCGTCGGGATTTCGAGGACGGTTATCGCAAATCATGGAAAAGGAGGATATCATGATCGGTGCCGAGGTCTCTTTCAATCAAAAGCAACTGGTATAAGTATGCATCTCCACAACGGCTGTTCATGGAGGTGGCATTCACTTTGGAGAAGAACAGATTGAGAGAATTGTTAAAAGCGAGGAATATCTCTGCTCGAATGAGATGCTTCAATGCTGATCTTGAATGTTCTCACGGCCCCTAGGGTCTACGTTGGAAGTCCTACGTATCTCAACTATGACCTTCGTGGAAGTGTATGAAAGACCTCAGTTGACGTGGTATTCAAACTGATGAGGGGGTTTTACCTCCACGAGCGTTCATATAGCAAACGTTGTAGAGAGGAGTATGTGGGCTAGAAAGACTACCTAGAGATAACCTACATCACATGACGTAGTGTTTCACCTCACTATGAGTCAGCGCAGTAGTAGTCGCTATTTTAGTACTAGTACCTTTCCTTATTTAGACTAGCGTCCCTTTAGTCCTTCACTATATAGTTAGCTCAAAGCCCCCTCAAGCTCCTTAGACCTTACATCTCTGCTCAATCCACCTAGTTTAATTCTCACCTGATTGACGACTCGGAACTCCATCAGCTCTAACCATGCGATAGTTTTTATGTTGTTCTAAGCTCAGTGAAGCTTTATACGGTCTCAGGTGCATACTTCCTCATTGATGTTAAATTCTGCGAAAAATTTCTGATTTATCAAGCGCACTCTATGCTTGTAAAGTGGAGGTATATACTGGATACTCAATCACCCCAAGACACGTGTCACAGTATGTGGCCTATATTATACGCCATGCAGGATGTAGAGTGCGCATTGCTCAAATCTCTCTTGGGAACAGAAAACCTGGACAATCTTACAAAGTTGCATTCAATCCCGCTACAGGAATATAAATAGAGGGAAATCTGCTGAAGAAACAATAGCGGTGATAACGGCAGACTCTCGATTCCTCAAACTCCAAATTTGAAATCCATCGTTCTTCCTAACACTTTCTAAATCACAATACAGGGCTGTCCCGTGCAGTGTTATACGCGCCGATTAGTTGATACTGATTCGTATCTCTCCTCTCTATCTTAAGCTCGGATTCCCGGCACCAAGATCCTTCCCAGAAGCAACTCTAAGGTCTGGACGAAACAGAGTCTTCCAGCAATGAGCGCAAATTCGGCCATGGCGATGGCTTTTCCAGCACAGTTTGTAGACCAATGAAAGGGATGATAACAGGTTCTAAGTCAATCGACGCCCCGACTGTGACTCCAGTTTCGCCCGAAGGAATATATCTTTTTGGGCAAAATCTGTTTGGGTCGCTAAAAGTGTCCCCATTACGGCCCAAGTGTAGCCTGAGAATCCAACCACGACCCCCTTTAGGAATTAGCCTCCGTTAATAGCTGTTCCACAGGGGGGCACTTCTCAACCCAACTCACAAGGTCTAGGAGGCGTTAAGCGCAGGGCTTCGTCGATACATGCTACAGATATGAACATGAGGACAGTTTTGGCCCATTGAAAATATCTTTGGAAGATGCAAATGTACCGCCGATTTCCTTCGTAATCTTCAAGTATGCCGAGGCATTGCGGGAAAGAATCCAGATATGACAGTTGACACGCTATCTGAGCCTGCAATAATAAGAAGAATTGCTCCAGCCCCCAGAGCTTTCTCCATATATGCCAAGTCGCCTATGTCTGGATTTTTCGCATTGCACAAAAAGCGGAACATATCCATTCTGGGCATGTTAGTATCCTTGATACCCTTTTCCTCTTCTATCCTTCGCGATACGATGTCATGGATAAACTGATAGTACAGCTTGACTCCTTTCGGTGTTATCAAATCGAAAAAAATCCATTTAGCCTTCTAGGTTTAGCCCAGACAACAGATTCCATGAACAGGGATTGGTAATCTGCAACTAGTCAGCCACTGTCTATTTTACCATTTGTGGCGACACGAAAGGAATCACCACGCTCGCTTTCACTTGCCTAGTCCCTTTTCGGCAGCTGAGTTTGACCGCTAGTCCGGCATACTCTCTGTATCTCAGAGAGGTACTCATCGTACGGAATAGAGCTATGTGTGGACTTAGCCCTACTCACTTTACGTACAGCATAACCAGGTGTCCCTCTTCGTCATCATCGGGAACAGGGTGCTGCTCTTGCTTAGTAGGCTCAGTCTTGGAGATCCTATAGCGATTGCATGTGTGTTATGAATGCCTTTACACGCAAGGTAGCGATCAAGGCATTGGAGAAATCTAGTCACATTTTGACTTGTTTCCTGCTACTTCTGGAGATATTGGAGCAAGAGGAAGTCGATCACATATTTAGGTAGTGAAACAAAATTATAGTCATATTGAATCGCTACCCCACTAGTTCCACAGCGCTGTCTAAAACTTCCGACTTCATCCCAAGCATTTGATGTGCGGTTATACTTATGTCCTGGCCCCCCATCCTAAATCTAGCACCGTTAAGGTGCTCCATGCCATGGAAACGAGAAAGGGGCTATGACAGGGAAGTTATAGGTCCTCCACCGCTCATCGATTGCTGACTCCACTCTTTCGTGCTTTGGTGCTTTCCGCTCAGGCGGCTAGTAGAGGATGAGACCCTATATCAGCCCGCTCAACATGTGCGGTTCAGGATAGATAGCTGGTCGTCGGAATGGAGAGGCCATCGAAGGAGTATGGACCTTCCAATATCTGCTTCACACTTCAACGCTCGATCCAAACAGAGACATGACCAGAGCTTTTACGTTGTTCCTCATCTGTAGAGCCCATATAGTGAGTGGGCAATATATATGCGGCGGCCAAATGTAAATGCAATGTTGAGAGCGGTGATAGCGTAGTATAGGATTCCATGGGGGGAACACGTCCTTGGACGTAGCATCTAAGGAGACGGAAGCTGGCATTGGCATTGGAAGCTATTCAAGGACACGTAAATGAAGACGTAGAAAGTGGTATTAGGGATCAGTATCTTCAGAGTGGGTGACGCTAATGCTACAAGAAGGGTCCTTCTGAACATGAGGACGATTGATAGTTTGATACACATTAGTGCAGCGACTGTGAGGGACTGAGATGCCCAGTGGAGCTGGAGGGGACTTCTCAGCCGAACTCGGTAGCGCCGGAGAGAAGTCTTGGACCTTGAAGTATCGCTCAACCTGCTCTAGACTCAAGAAATTCTGATGTCGCCCTAGTTCGGCACCAACCGATGCATTCGACATTGCTAGCATTGCGATGCCGAAGCACTAGCGCATAGCGAGTAAGGACCATGACCTCGTTCAGGGAGGTTGCGCCAACGTACCAGCGCGAGGCCGAATGTAGCATCGTCGCGACCGAGCCGGCTAAGTTTCTTGCACCCAATAGGATATCAAACAGAAGAAACGAGAACTGAAGTCGCCCAAAGAACGATGGCAACAACGGTATCCGCAGGACCTTGGTAGTCGGGTGATAACGCAGCTGTAGGGTTGTGTGTTCCTAACAAGACAATGTGGTTGGGAAAGACTTGCACCTGTGCATCTTATTAATCTTGCAGTTGACAAGGCTACACCACTGCAAGAGAGCATAGCAAGGTATCCTGCTATCAGGGCCTTGGAACTCGAGTGATTGCTTCCATACTGGAGAATGAGGACTCGCACGCTTCGACGCCCCGAAAAGAGCTCGTCACGGCTAAGACAATGCAGGGTTGAATGCGGATGAGAGGGGATGCGTTCAGCTTTGCCAAATGCCACATACCCTCCTTGGACGTCGCTTGGTCTGAATTTAAATATTCCACCTGAATTCATAGAAATTTGCTTTTTAGCTCTTTAGCGTGGAGTCTGCTTAGCTCCGACGTTGCACAAATGAAGAGTGCAGGTTCTAACATGCGGCCCGCGTCTCGGCAGCGAGGCTTGCAGCCGACTTCCCCGATGCCGCGACTCAAAAACCTGAAGGCTGCTGCAAGACGCCTAATACAGAATTGCAGAATGATAAGACGGCTCGGGCACGGATCTGACCTCTCAGACTGGTGCGCGTGCGGCGTTCTGGACAATATTGTCTGACAGCGGCTCTTTCGTCTCCGCCCATCGCAAATGAACAGAGCAGCAGCAGCTATCTAGCCGTCAAGTTCTTCGAGCCGTCTAGCGAACTAACGCGAAACCCCCACGGTGGGTTAATGCTCGTCCCGGCTTTGCGACCTAAGTTAATTCATACGCCAACATCTCGTGCTGCAATCTCTAGCTTGTGATCTTCTTCATCGAACTTTCTCGCGGGACCTTGCGGAGGAAATTGATGGACAGTATGGCTGACAAGGACGGCGCCATCGACACGCTGGTGGAGGAATACAAAGATTTGAACGCTCCTCGCAAGGAGCAGCCCATAAAGCCGATAGACTTCCCCTCTGGCTCCGGTCCGGTGAACGTCTTTGAGGTATGGAAGTCGCAATCAACGTTCGCCCACTCGGATAGCCTGACATACTTCAGCGCTACATCAACCTGGCTGCCATTGTCAATTTCGGCTTCACTCTGCAAGCTGGATGGGAGACTGTCGGTCTCACTTTACAATACGTCTTGTACAATGGCGGCCCAGCGTCACTCGTCTACGGAGCCATCCTCGCAGGTGTTGGGTCCACTGCAATTGCTACCTCTCTAGGAGAGATGGCGTCAATGTCAGCGAATCCCGCAGAGGCTCCTTGAAACATGATCCCACGGTACTGACGCAGCTGCCCCAGAGATCCGACAGTTGGCGCTCAATATAGATGGTCGGCTCGTTTTGCGCAGAAATGGCCAGAGTTCTGGGGTTTGATGCAAGGTATGTCTGTGTCAATTTGACAGCGCCAACCATTCCTGACCGCAATCCTAGGTTGGGTAACTGTGTTTGCCTGGATATTCAATGTCGGGGCTAGCTTGTCTATCCTGTCGAACATGGTACAAGGCCTTATCCTCTTCCACGACCCGAGCTACAACCCCAAGCAATGGCATGGGACATTGTTCATGTATGCATTTATCGTTATCCCAGTCCTTTTCAACCTCGTCCTGCGAAGAACGCTCAACGCCCTCGAGATTATCGGGGGTATCTGTCACGTTCTGTTCTTTATTGTTGTGATCACTGTCCTGTCTGTTACGGCTGAGCGTAGCTCCGCCGGGTTCGTCTTTAAAACTCTTACTCATAATGTGAGTGGCTGGACCAATCCCGGTGTTGCTTGGTGCCTGGGGCTTCTGACGACGGTGTTCCCCATCACCAGCTTCGATGGTGTTCTTCACATGAGTAGGCTTGCCTGGAGACTTTCACCGATCAGACATACTAAGGGGTTATGCAGTTGACGAGACCAAGGAACCGCGGAAGCGAGTTCCAAAGTCCATGATAATCTCCGTCGTTCTGAATGCCATTATGCAGTTCGCCTTTGGCATCTGCATATTGTTCTGTTTCGGTGATTATGATACAGTGGCTGCATCAGGGCTACCTCTAGTTGAGATTTACTACGGAGCGTGAGTGCCCGCCTATTAGTTCAGCATTTGCACAGCTCTAATAAAATCGAACAGGACCAAGTCTAAGGCCGGCGCAACCATCTTAGTTCTTATGCATGCCATCATCTTCCTGATCTCACTCTTCAACATATTCGCCTCGGTGTCGCGCTTAGTATGGGCTTTCGCTCGGGATAAAGGACTTCCTTTCTCAAAAACTTTCACCTACGTACGGCTTCCATCGAGATATGTCACCTGCCTAGAACCATTAGCCTAACGTGAGTTGCAGGTTCACCCCACGCTCCAGATTCCGATCCCAGCCTTACTCCTCGTTGCCTTCACATGCGCTGCACTCGCCCTCATCAATATTGGATCGACGGTCGCCTTCACCGCACTCGTCTCTCTTCCTACCGTAGCGCTCTACATATCATACTTTATCCCAATCGCTCTCCTTACCCTGCGTAAACTAGCGGGTAAGCACCCGAAATATGGACCATTCAAGCTCGGCCGCTGGGGTCTACCTATCAATCTCTTCTCTCTCGTGTACATCATCTTCGTCCTCATCTGGATTCCGTTCCCGCCTGGCAAACCGGTGACGGCTAAAACTATGAACTATGCGGGCCCCTTGTTCCTTGCGGTCATTGTGTTTGCGCTTTTGGATTGGTTTACTACGGGCAAGAAGAGGTTTGTTGTACCGACGGGCGCGATTGATCTTCCAGAAAACGATAAGGAAATCGTAGAAAACAGGCATTTGTGATCTCGGAATTTGCAGTAGGAGTCTTCCTTGTGGGGCTTGCAATGGTCTGCAACCACGTCAACCTACGGACTCTCCTGCGCGGTACAAACCTACCTAGATAGACCCTGCTATCTGCAGGAGCCTTCAAATCCGCGTGCAAATTTCAAACGTCTAGTATTTACGTAAAAACGACCTTCCTGTCTCCAAATTATAATCAAGACGTTCCCAAATTGTCCGAAGTCGCACGAGCGTGTACCGACCTGCACAGTCTTGCAGCAATGTGCGCCACAGAAAACTTTCGGCACGCGCGTCACCCAATCAATTTCCTCCCTTCCCACCCCCCGCCAACTCTTCCCCGGCTGCCTGCGATAACCTGCGTTCGGAGGGGAGTCTCGACAGGCCTGAGCGAAAGTGCTGCGTGGCACTTGTGCTGCTCACATGTGAGGTGCTTGAGTGATGGGTCGGTTTACTTGGCCAGCGCAATCTTATAATATTCAACTGTCATTGTCCTGCTGCTCATTGCGAAGTTCTTGCCTCCGATTGGGGGCCTAGATTAGCGATGATGGATTATTCGATCTTGAATGCAGGGAAGGGTGTGTCCGGAAATTATTCAGCCCTGGAGATTATTCGCTCTTGCATGCTTCCACTCTTCGTATGGGTGAGTGATTGATCGTTTCTTAATGGGTCGTGTGCGATAAAGAGACAACAGGCGAAGACTTACTGAAGAGATGTAGTACTGTCTTATCCTTCTCTATCGTCTCACATTCCACCCTCTATCGCGATATCCTGGCCGTCTATCAGAGAGACTTTCAGACTGGCCTATAGTATACTATTGTATCAAGGGTAATCGACATATCAAGCAATTACTTGCTCACGAGAAATATGGTAAGCTATATCTCTTTTCCTTGTACAGTCTGTCTACTCATCACTTGTCCCCTCTCTCCCCTCCCTGCATTCATCCCAACGTTAGTCTTGCAGGTCCAATCGTCCGCGACGGCCCAAACAGTCTCTCCTTTCGCTCTCCAGAAGCCCTGAAAGCCATCTACGGCAACAATGCCCACATTAAGAAGGGTGATTGGTACCTAACCCTCGATATCTCAGCCGGCGCGCCCTCTGTCCAAATGGTGATTGACCAACACCAACATGCTCTCCGCCGACGCGTCATGTCTCCAGCCTTCTCGGAGAAGGCACTTCGGGACGCCGAGCCGCTCATCAACACCACTGCACGCAAACTGTGCGAAAGACTAGCAGAAGCGCTGAGCTGTACGAAAGATGAGTGGAGCAAAGGATTCGATCTGCAGGTGTGGATCGCATATTACGGGTATGATTTCATCTCTGACCTAGCTTTTGGGCGGAGTCTTGAGTTACTAGATCGCGAAGAACACCGATTCGTCCCTCCCACACTCAGGAGCGCAAGTCAGTTCTTATACTACGTTGGCTACCTTCCGTTCGCCGCCCTGGTCCGCCCATTAATGGGGACATCCGTGCAGGATTACTTTCCTGGTCAGTCGGCGAGAGATTCGCTGAAGTACACTGATCTTGCGAATTCGAGACTAGCGGAGCGTATTGAGAGGGAAAAGAAAAGGAAGGAGGGGGGTGGTGGGGCAGAGAGAAAGGACACTTTTCACTATTTACTGAATAGTAGGGATCCAGTGACGGGGAAAGAGTTCACCGTGGAAGAATTACAGGCCGACACCTCTTTGCTCATCGCGGCCGGTAGTGATGGTGTCACATTAGCTTCGTGTGCGCTGCTCTTTTACGCCCTTCAGCAGCCGCACATTCTCCGAAAACTAATCAACGAGATCCGTGAGGCTTTCCCAACAGTAGAGGATATCCGCACGCCGAAATTGAATGGCTTGCTGTATTTGCATGCTTGTATAGAAGAGAGTTTACGAATGGCACCACCGAAACCAGGGAGCTTGCCGCGGATTGTGCTGCCTGGTGGCACTGAAATCGATGGCCAGCATATTCCCGCCGGAACCACAGTGGGAGTCTCACACTACGTGATCCACCGTAACGCAGATGTTTTCCCAGAGCCTAATATGTTCAGGCCTGAGAGGTGGATAGTTGGAGATGGTAACAGTGCTGAGCAGCTTGCAGCGCAGAAACGAGCGTTTTGCCCTTTCGGCATTGGTCCAATGAACTGCATCGGCAGGAACACAGCTTATCTTGCCATCAAACTTGCGCTTGCGCACTTATTCTGGCAATTTGATTTTAGAGTTCACGGAGACTTGATTGGAGGTGGCAGCAAGAAAATGGAGGAAGGGCGGAGGGATGAAACTGAGTACCAGATGTACGATTGGATTATTGGATTTCCGAGTGGACCTATTGTGCAGGTGAGGTCAAGGGTCTGAAAGCGTGGGTTTTTATGTGCGGGCAAGTTATTAGTAGTTTTCGAAAGCGTGTATACGGCATTCTTTTTATTCCATAAATTGCCACGACAAGCCTCTATGTTAGCTCTGCTCTTTACCTAATATTCTCAACCCCTAGACCCCTTATCTCGCGAGCTACCCTCTCGACTTAGATATTGCAGTTTTACAAATTAATCCATGTGCAGATCCATGAAAAGACGAAAGGGAGGCGTTAGAGCTTAGGAGAGGAATACGAAGATGCAACAATGCGTAGAATACCTTGGACAACTAGACATGGAACGAGAATATTCCTAGTGCTTCCACTGTAACATAACTACGTTAGGATAGTGTTTCTAGTTTCTAGTCAAGGTACACTGGGTAGATAATTGTTTGAGAATGCTCTGTCCTTAATCGGTCCAACCCCGACAAAGGCTTTCCACCTTCGTAGTCTCCACTATAATGTGAGAGACCATTTATAATCCCTCCATCACCTTCGCATGCACATCGGGATTGTTGACAGCAATCTTCACTTTCCTTAGCATTTGACCGCAAGAACAAGTAGTGAAGTACCTTAATAAGAAAGTTAACTCTCACCCAAGCTAATACAGCATTCGCAGGATCAAGTTTCATAACAGGGTATCCGATGCGCTCGAATCTTCTGACTCAACACGTGATATTTTCCAAAATATACCAGACCTTCACTTCTATTTCGCCGCTTATTCTAAAAGGGTCCACGTTTTCTGACCATTGCAGATGTTTGGGTTCTCAAAACCCCTTCAGGAATGAGTCAATGCCCCCCCTTTTTTTCTTTGAGACATGATCACCTTGCAACCGAGCCGAAATAACGCAGCTAACGAAACCCTTATCTAGCCTAGTCGTAACCTCACAGCCCCTCATCACTCTATCAACACGTGCCATTCTCACACCCTTCAACCCACAATAATATCCACCGTTGTGACATACAAAAACTACTGTTTTATCAAGCTTGTCCGACACCTTCTGGTCTCCAAAACTGGGGTTGGTCAGAGAGACAGCTTCAGCATGCTCGGTGACGCGTCGACTGAGTATTCTTTTGCACCACGATCGCGTTTCAGCAACAATACCAGCATCAACATGTCTTCCTCTTTCGAAGAAACATTTTGGCGAGCTGTCAGTCCGGGATCTGAACGGCTTTTGGCGGGTGTGGTGCTCGCTGCTGCAGGATCTGGCACGGAAGGTAACATTCGACTTTTTTATTCGCTGCTGTCGTCAAGTTTTCATCTTTGATCGTTGAAAGCCGCATATCTCACATAAATAGATTAGATTAGAGAGGTGATAAGGGTGTATCGAGTCTACAACGCTGCGGACCTATTAGTGGAAAGACATAGTGCTACTTCCTAATCCTGTTAATTATGCGAATATCCAAGCACATAACGTCTTTAGTATTCTGAATTAAGTCCTGCTAACAAGTATCAGCAGATGGACGGTCGCAGCAACAAGATTATCTCGCCGCGTATGGCACAATGCAGCTCATACCGGGCTCTCCCCCGGTATCTACAAAGACGGTTATGTGGTTGGCATCTTGTACTAAACTTATTGCAACTATCGCGGCGCTGCAGTGTGTCGAGCGAGGCCTCTTCGATCTTGACTCCCCCGCCGATGTCGATCGGCTTCTTCCGGAGTGGAAAGGTACGCAAATCTTGACTGGTTTTGACAATGAAAAGCCCGTGCTTCAGGATGCCAAAGAAAAGATAACGTTGAAACAATTGTTGAACCATACGAGCGGTTTAACTTACGACTTCTTTCCCGAGTTGTTGCGATGGAGGAAGTCGCGTGGTGAATCCCCTCTTACGTCGCGTGGGCCAATCACTGAGATCTTCACACACCCGTTGATCTTTGAGCCTGGGACTAGCTTTGCCTATGGGCCTGGTCTTGATCTGGCTGGATTAATGGTTGCAGGGGCAAATGGCTGCACTCTGGAAGAATACATGCGCAAGAACATCTTCGACGTCCTTGGCATGGACGACACATCATTCCACCCACGAGAGTACAACGATCTTGCTACGCGACTGATGCCGATCACTGCTCGAATTTCTCCTAACGGCCCTCTAGCCGATGGGGAAAATCTATATTCACCAGCCCAGCTCCTGCACCTCGAGGCGCAGGATGAATACGGTGGTGGGGGTCTCTTCGGCACGGCAGAAGACTACCTGAAGCTCCTCAAGTCTATTCTACGGAACGACGGCCAGTTGCTCAAGACAGGGTCAATTGATCTCATGTTCACACCTTCCATATCGCCCTCGTCCAAAGATGCACTAAATAAATGGCTCTCAGATCCTGCTTACGCGTCTGCTGCGATTCCAGGTGAGCCGCCTGTGGGAACTGCGGGATGTGGAGAGTGGACGCACGGCATAGGAGGCTTGATTGGGCTGACGGACAAAGAAGGTGGGCTGAAATCACCGTGGCTTCAGTGGGGAGGGGCTCCGAACCTGAAGTGGTGGATTGACCGAGAAAATGGTAGCTGCGGTATCTTTGCGACGCAGTTGGGTCCACCTGGCGAAGGGAAGCATCAAGTACTGACAAACCTCTTTCAGAAGGAAATGTCAAGAATTTTTGGAAAGAACGCAGCTTGACAACGCCTAGTATGTTTTCGGATCCGAGTTCGCTGTCCTCGCAAGATGGGTTGAAGCGTTTTGGGACGTCGTGAAGGATGGTCAGTTTATTTTCCAAACTAGGACCAACGGAATAGTAAAGACTACTTTCAAAGCGCCACCAGAAACGGAAGGAAATGGAAGCAAGTTCTAGGAATCGAGGCGTCTTATTGCCACAATCATACCGTGGTGGATTCGCATTCATGACGTCGGGTTCTACGATGGGCTGTACAGCACCGAGTTTAGATTCAGAAAGATGCCATATCTTCCTTACTGCTTCCATATCCTTCTTTCTATTTTCGATGTGATCGAGTATTACCATTACAACTGGCAACGAGCATCCGTCAGTACTGTTACTTTCCCGAAAACCTTCGGATTCAGCCGTAATGTGATGGCTCTTGTCGAGATGCTATCAAGATATTCGGGACGCAATGCAAGGGAACTGGAAACATCGTGGCGTTGGACAAAGCCTAGGGTACCTCCTTGTAGATGCGCTGAATTAGTACACATATGCGTGATCTTCCTAGGCTACTCCTGATTTCAAGCACAATCTACCTCTACCATTCAGAAACTACCCTATTTGCTCCCCGTGTCTACTCCCCTATAGTGGTTCTTGGGTTTGATCCAATCCTCTTATGACTACTGTCTTTGAGTTCTATGGCTAAGTCTTCCTGTTGCGTTTGCTAAAAGGTCAACCTCCCAGCTAGCACAGCAGAAGGATATATATAGACGGATAGCTGTATGCGACACTTCCACTCCTCGTTCCTCCCTCGCTTTGCAAAACAAACTGACGCAACCTCAAGAACCAAAGAACCTGATCCGAAGGATCGATAGTGACGGCAACCAAGGCATGTTTTTGTATATTGAAATTTCCCCCAGACACCCACTTTGCCCGCTCTGTTTGATCTCATGTGCATGAGCCGAAGTCATTTAGCTTACGGCATTTCTGTTGCAAGATGCATGCCAATTGGGCAACTACTGCCTTTTCGTTGTTCGAGGAGCGCACAGTCCAGGATTTCGTTCTTCGAGAGACCCTCTCCCCAGGCGGCATAGCCCAGCATCTCCCGCAGAACCTTGTGTAGTCGCGAAACATGTTGCGTCTCAATCTATCCGACCAATACGTATTCCTTGATGTCAGATTACTGCTGCCTAAGCCAAGCGCACAACAAAAATGTTCGCGCCGGATTTTCATGAAAGGAAATGAAGAGCATTAACAGCTCAAACCATAAACATTCTAGTAAAGTCTCAACAACGTTCGAGTGAAAACAAACACGTCGGTTCTCGGATATTCCACCGTTCCGGTCACCGAAACAGACCTCCTCACGATTGCGGGCCCCATCTACTCCTCGAAGCTGCAACTCGCGATCGATCGGTTCATGTTCAAAGATTGAGCGAGCATGGCCGAATAAGTCCGCTCAAATCGCGCAATACGTAGTGCTATCGAGTTCAGATTTGAAGACTCGTACATTACTTTTCTTAGAGCCGCATATGACACATCAGGGGAGATTGTTGTCCATCTCGTCCAAACACAACGGAAAGGCTCTGGAGCGGAGTGAGCTTCTGGTGACAGAAGCAGGTCCTAGAATACCCCGACCGGAATCAACCCCGAAGTTTTCGCGACTGTTAGGAGGGCAGGGAAAGAGATCAATAAGGAGATGGAGGGGATCAACTACATAGGTGAAAAAGGGTCAATGCGTGCTACTTGCATTGCTAATATTGATTTAGAAGTAACCCAAACCCTCGTACGCCCCTGGGAGCCGAAATCAGAGGTGGGCCTTACATCTTGTATGGCTAACCTTTGACAAGGTCGCAGAAACTGGGCTGCCTCTCTCCGTGAGGTCCGAACCAACCGCGCATAATTTATCCACGAAGCAATAGCTCAGGGATACTAAACATGTTGACACTAATCTAGACAAGTAGGCTCTGGAGTATAGCGGGTTCGGGGAGTTAGGCTTTCTGGATGATCGTGTCTGACCCGGGTTCAGGCACAAAACTAAAATCGATCACTTGTTTTCTCCTAACCCCTCTTCGTTGGAGATAGCACAACAAGTTCGTGGTCAGTTAGACGAAGAAACGTATGAGGAAATGGCGTCCGCAGGTTGGATTCTCGACCTACGATTGTTGTGGTCTAGTGTGAGAGTGGGTTTAAAACCCTCGACAGCCGGCCACCCGGGAAAGTTGGATTTGGTGGTATTGGTATCAGAGCGCCAGAGGTTTCACCCTCCCGCTTAGGGCCGTGCCTCAGAATGGTATGAGCTCGGTGCCACCGCATCGAACCTCGCCAGTATTTCACTACTGATGTCGAAATATACAAGCGGACTAACTTGCAGAAACCCAGAGATGGACGGAATCTAATCGAAAATTCCAGATCCGAAACGCGTCTTACGAAATTCTGTTTGTACTACTTCGAGACCACTCCCCCATGATCCAAACGTCAGTCCCTGAAAACGGCTTGGAGTTCTCCAGAAGCTGCTCAGACATCGACAGTGCTATTCGCAATCCCATTCGGATCCCGATGTACCGTAGTTTCTCCGCAATCCATTGTTTCTGGGGCCACGGAGTCGTTCGTCGCATACCAGAGATGAAGAGCGGCCAGATAATCAGATAACATCCTGGAATCGCATCGCTTTCTTGCGCATTGGGACTGGTTCTGTGTCGATGAAGCCCTAAGTGAAAAGGAACGCTGCGGCACACGTCATCGGCGGTGGATTTTAGTACCTTTGCTGCAGCTTGCACGATATGTTTATCGTTAATCGTCCCGAACTTCAGCGCTGTCGACATGATATGTTCATGTATGAGCAGTCGAGTGGACCGATAGTTATTCCACATAGAGGCAACCCAGAGATTCTGGTAGACATCGTAGTGTGTGTCACAAGTGGTCAGTGACGGTGAGGTAGTGTCGATGGCTTGGTATGATTGATATTGCCAGGATGGTGGGAGTGCACGTCTCCAATGGTCAAGCTTCTCGTCAACGGGGAGGAGCATGCTCGCAACGACAGCAGGACTGCATATTGTATCTCGTTTTATCTGAGCCCTGACTGCGGCTAGCTGCTCGCTAATCTCCGTGAAGCGATTTCCGGGAGACTGATTCTGGGGCTGGCCAGGGTCGGTCCATGAAGCCCATCTCTTGAGTGCATATGGAATAGGCTCTTGGAACCGGTGGCATGTCATAATCTTTTCGAAACCAAACTCAGCGAGAGAATGAAAAGGAAAAAAAAACATTAGATTGGAATGAAGACGTACAATCAACCGACGCATATCGGCCATGAGCTTCCTCGATACTTCAGTTTGAAATTGATTTGGCCCACGGAGCTCCACGCATCTTGACGCAGCCATTATATGCTGCGCAAAATTGTTCATCGAGTTTACATCCGCCGCAACGATTTGCTATTATCGAAAATTAGCCGTAGAAGTTGTAGAGGTTCTTTCAGTGCAGACATTATTACCTCAAAAGTCCCCATGAGCATTATGGCGGCAAGGGTCTGATCAGAGTTGACGAGGCTTGGGGTTTCCAGAGTTTCTTTCAGTCGCCGTATCGCCTGACCGTGTAATGTGTACGCGTCTGCCCGCCATGCACTCGAATTGCCTGCATTTGCGAGCCCTGCCAGGCCTGCGGCGGCGATAACAGTAACGAGGGGGCTATTAGAGCTTGCCCCTTGCAGAAGCGAGGGCAGATAATCATAGTTTCCTTGGGGCGTTGGGGAGTCCGTTTTAAATACGTAATGATGGATGAAAAAGGTAGTTGCGCGGTCGACAATTGAAGGAGAAAGACTACGGCTAAGTTTCTTGACCACGGCATCTGTTTGGTTGCGAAACACCAGCTCAGATTCGGGCTCGTAGCCAGGGCAAACCCACCCAGATTTCGCGCACCGAGTACACCCAGGCTTCGACTCATCGCACTTCCCTGTAATTTCAGCATTGGACAGTACTTAAAAGGGGGTTCGGACGTAATTCCTACCTTTACTTTGCGTTTCCTGCAGGATGCACATCCTCTGCTCCGCCTAGCTCTGCTGGACATTGCAATTGATCCTGGGAACGACTTGTTGCGGGCCGCGTTAGGAGATGGAAGCGAGCGACCCAATAACACGACGGCCAAGGGGAGCTCTGCGATGACGAGGGCGTGGCTCCGAAGCTTAACTTAGAAGCTTGATTGAACGTTGGAGCTGGCTAGGAAATACGATGTTTCAGCCCTTGACCGCCCCTCTCCAAAGATGGCTAGTCGTGCGAGTAGACCAATCAGAGAGCTGGCTGACGGATGTGGCTCAGCTCGAGGCTGCCGCACTCCACTCACGTGGCTACTTGTCTGTATTCATGCTAGATTGACATTAAAAATGTCCAATGCCCTGAATCACGGATATTTTTACACTCGATATCTTTACTTCGACGTTTTGTTGTTTCCAAAGAATGGCGAAACCAGTTGATCATCAATATCTCATCTTTTTTGGACCTAACGCCAACTGCACGTTCGACGTAAGCCTTCCTACTCGCACAATCGAAGCCTTTCTTCCCCAATTCGTGCTGAAAAGGTATATATTAGATATGCACCGCCAGTGAAAGCGTCTACGGTTATCGTCCATCTCTCGCCGCAAACATCACGTTTATCGTGCTCTTCTCCGTTGCCAACCTTATCCATGTCGTTCAAGGTTTCCGATGGACGACGTGGAGATTCACATGGTTGATGATACTCGGGTGCGCTCACGAGATTACCGGCTATATTGCTCGCATCAAGTTGTACTACAATCCGTGGGCGTTTGTTCCGTTTCTAATCCAAATTAGTAATGTACCTCCAAAATTGTGTTCAAACACTTAACCTTCGTTAACACTTAATCAGTCACAATCACCCAAGCGCCAGTATTCTATTGTGCTGCCATTTACATCACACTAGGCCGATGGTGAGAGAACTCCTCCAGTGGGTGCTCCAACAAGTCCTTACACCGTCATAGTATTGCGCATTTCGGCTCGGGATTGGCCCGCTTCCCACCGAAATACCTCTATCGAATCTTCCTTCCGTGCGACGTCGTCTCCCTCGTCCTACAGGGTGTGGGCGGCGCCATGTCAGCTTCATCCTCGGGGGACAGCAGAACAGGAGTCAACATCGCAATGGCAGGGCTAATCTTCCAAGTTATCACGCTTTTTGCCTTCTGTAGTCTGCTTGGCGACTTCTTTTTCCGCTTCATACTTTCTAAAAAAGGGAAAATGATGACGATACGGGAGAAAGTCTTCCTCGGTTTCATCTCCCTGGCCACGTTGGCGATACTAATCCGATGCATTTTCCGCGCGCATGAATTAAAACAAGGTTATCATGGTGAGGCTGTTAGACGCGAGGATCTTTTCATTGGCCTTGAAGGAGTGTAAGTCTTCTTACGAAGCATCTGACTCAATAAGTTTGATTCTAACATGCGTCCTTTGTAATAGGCTCATCGTTGTGTCCGTATTTTCTCTCTGCGTTGGCCACCCGGGTCTCATCTTCAAGGATGACGGGATGAAATACAGGACCGTGGATGGTATCGAGCCACCGGGCGAGAGCGGCGAATTGTTGAAAGACATGAGAACTGAGTATAACGGAGGTCGAACAACGAAAACTTCAGTGTGAAATCCAATATGAAAGGAGTTCATGGAGAGAAATTATGGGCACGTTAGTGATTGAAGAAAAATATACATCTTTCGTTCGAATAGGGAAAACGCTTATCTATTGAAGAATATTTGTACATGAATCCAATAGCAGATTGGGCGTACCACATCCCTTGAGTCGCAGGCCCTCTATTGTGGCGGAATATTGTAGCGGGGCGACATGATTGAGTGGTTGTGACACTAGCCTCATGAGAGGAATTTGGGAAATCTCCGGTTGTTCCTGTTCCTTCCATTTCCTTTACGGCTCCCAGTGACGCCAGTATTCGCAGTATTACCAGTGTTCGCAGCATTGCCAGCGTTCGCAGCATTTCCAGAATTTCCGGCGTTCGCAGCATTTCCAGTATTCCCGGCGTTCGCAGCATTTCCAGTATTTCCGGTATTGGCAGTATTTCCGGTATTGGCAGTATTTCCGGTGTTTGCAGTATTGCCAGTATTCCCGGCGTTCGCAGCATTACCAGCGTTCGCAGCATTGCCGGTGTTTGCAGTGTTGCCAGTATTCCCAGCATTCGCAGCATTACCAGCATTTGCGGCATTCCCAGCGCTTGCGGCATTCCCAGCGTTTGCGGCATTCCCAGCGCTTGCGGCATTCCCAGCGTTTGCGGCATTCCCAGCGTTTGCGGCATTCCCAGCGTTTGCGGCATTCCCAGCGTTTGCGGCATTCCCAGCGTTCGCAGCATTGCCGGCGTTCGCAGCATTGCCAGCATTTCCAGCGTTACCAGCGTTTCCATTTCCTTTCCCTTTGCGTGTTTTGCCTGTTGCGACAGCGGCGGGGGCGCTGGCCGCAGTCGTAGCCGGAAGCAAAGCTATGCTACCTGTCAGTGAAATTCCTTCCTCGCGAAATAAAAATTGAATAAGAGTGAAGAGAAGTGAGAACGCACCGGAAATGGCGAACGCACCCTCATTCCCACCAACCGCACCAGCAGCCTGGTTCGCGGCGATGGCGGCGGGGAGATCTTGCTGGTTCTGCGCGATCTGTGCGTTGATTCCGGAGAGGGTTTGGGCTGTGTCAACGGCTGAAGGGATGGGCGTAAGTGCATGCTTGTGATGGGGGAAGGCTGTATAAAAGGTACAGAACCAAAGAGCAACTCAAAGCAAGTATGAGAGCAGAAATAGTGTTGCCTTACCTGCAGCAGAAGTGTCCGTACGGCCGGTGCCGTCGGTTTGTTGGACGGCGAAGCAGCCCCCGAAGGGTCCTGCGACGGCATTGTTCCGACAGCGGACAGTGCAAATGTCTCCAGTAGAAGCTAAGATAATACCATGAGAATTTAGCGGTACGCATTGAAGAAGAGACATACCTCCGATGCAATTGAAGTTTGCCGGCATCTGGACATTGATCGTAAAGTCCTGCTCCTTGGCTTGTGATAAGCCATTGGCTCCTGGGACGTTATTCGCAACTTTAAGCTTCACAAAATTTGTCGCGGCGTTACCTATATGCATTAAGTCGTTGAGCTCACAATGAGGGTATAGGGAGATGTACTGGTTTGATCGAGATCACACTCGTATGGGCCAGCACCATCGGCATTGACCTGATGAATAGTGACGGCAAGAGTGCTTCCTTTGGTGACCTGTGTAACACGATTGGCAGCCAATTCATTTTCAGTCTGCTCGCCAACGTCGATATTTCCGGCTATCTCAGTGCGACCGCATGAGTTGACGATATTCTGTGTGATTTCGGAGTCACGTATGATGGTTGAATCCTGCTGGCAGGGACTTATTGTAGTACAGTTTCGTGCGAGAGTTTGATCAACTAGATTCTTATCAATGACAAGATCTTCGTCTGGGAGTCATCCAAACCTACCGAGGAAACCTTGGCTGGCTGGGCCACCTGTGCCTACAGCCGCGAGAATCGCACCATGAGATTGAACTCGACAAGCAAAAGCTAATAGTGCGAGCAGAGAAGAGACGCAGACCATCTTCAAATTAAGCGCACAGCGCAAAGAATGGAAAATAGGACTTAGGACGGTGAAAGTGAACGAAAAGAGACTCTCGGAGTCTGAACAACGAAAAGAAGAAAAGTTAAGGAAAGAGCGTACCCAGGTCGTACAGCCTGGGGCACTAGGTGATAATTGTAGTGGATCGTAGCAATCCACTTGCAGAGGGTATATCCATACCTCGTGCGGACTACACCATGTTCCAAACCATACTGCTACAATGGTGAAGTTGGAAAGAGCCTGACGTGTCCGTTTGCCCGTTTGATGGGGAACTTGGACTATGCTTGTGGCGTGAAGCGCTTGGGTTCTATGAGGCTTAAGATATCATCCCAGGCGTCGATCGGTGCTCTGAAGCACGGCGGCAACTCGGGACGACCCACTTCTGCCAAGCTTGACTCCGTTCATCCGATCACGCGAGATGGACGTTTGACAGCTCGACCGAACAAAGCGATGTAGGTAACTTGAAACGATTCGATAGGAAATCAAAGGCTAAGCCGGGTTACTGCCTTGGGTAGGCCTGAACGCAGGGCCGATCTTTTCCGACGCGAAGCAGGTCGCGTTTCATCACACGCTCAGACGTCGGAGAAAAATCGGGCCTTTCCAAACAACATTTTCCAAGGAGCCTCATTAGAATATGAGGCATCCTAGCTATCTCGGCTCGTGTACTGTTTGAGGGTGGATTTTCATTTGAGAGGATGAACTCAAGGGAGGCATGGGGTGAATGCCGATAGTAGTCAATGCCTCGAGAGCAGTGAAACACGAAAGGGACCAATTGAGGGGAAGCGGAAGATGCGAGGGAGATGGAGAAGATGAAGGATTTGGATTCAGGATTTCAGAAGTTCAGAAGATGTTCTGGGTCATGAAACGAGACAATTGAGCGTACTGTGAGTAGCCTTTGGTGGGATGAGTTGCTCCGTTGGCGAATGCTGCGGCTCCGCTTTGCGTGTTAGAAAGAGGCTTCAAAATCTTGCATACGGATGAAGCAGCTTTCCGTAAAGATGCAGAGCCCTTGGTTGCGTATCGTACGTGGCGGGTGTCTACCACTGATAGTTCGCTCCGTGTCGAATGTGGGGGTTGACGGGCATGAATACAGTTAACCTTTCAGGCATATATCCCTTCTACAGGTACGCTTCCACGCTCGCGATGTTGTCCTCGTCTACTACTGGACCCTTGGTGTATACGGTTGTATATCCGAAGCCCCTACTCGGATAGTATCCTGGACAGGCAGCCAGTATTACAGTCGCGGTAATAGAAGCACTTCCTACCAGCGCTTATCCCCTTAGTCGGACGCATTATGTCGGAGACCTCTTATTGAAAGTCAGAACATCTGGGGGAGACCCAACAGGAACACAGGGACGGCGGCACGGAAATCGATGCGTTTGGGTCTTAGAACATAGGGCGGTGAGGAGAGAAGGGGTATAATTGCGGAGCTCATCGGTCGTACATGGTTTCGCATGTGGGTACGGTCGAAGGTGAGAAGTGTGGCATGATGAAGCCCTGGAAGGGAGCAGGAGTGGGCGAAGTCGAGCTGCGGCCCGATGGAGTCTTGGCGTGATGATGTAATCCATACGTGACCCCTAATTGTCTCCGGGCAATCTCGTCACGCTCATCTTTTTTCCATCAACTCTCCCACCGAGGAGTTATTAAGCTCCATCGCGTTGTTCTTTGCTTCACCACCACTACGGTCACAAATATAAGGCTCATGCATCATGAGGAGCTACGAAGTTCTCGTTTCTTGTGCTATCCAGTTTTGAACGTGCCTCAATCAAGGCGACGCAGCCAATCCCTCAGCCTTCATTCCAACCTTTCTAAGGCAAAAATATAGTTTGCTTCACAAGCTGCGTGGTCAGTTCTAACAGCATGACCACCACTCAATCGCCATTTTGCATGAACAAATCAGACCTTTAACCATGGAACTGGGCACAAACTCAAAGTTCCAGCCGACCAAAATTTGTACATGGTTCAGTCCAATTCAACACGGCGGCGGATAGAACCCAGCCCTGTCAGTACACCTACGACCATTCAAAGCGCGACCGGGGCACATGATCCTCTCCAGTTGATTCAGAACTATGAAGGAATACCAATCGACCAGATGAGAGCGCTAGCGATTAAACTCCAGCGTGCACCCACCTATCCGAGGGCAACGACAACCGTCCCTTGACCCTAAGCCTCGTCGCTCTCTTCGTTCCGGAATTCCCGAGGGTAGATTGCGGCCCATGTTGGGCTACAAGAAAGTGAAAGCTCCTTCCTCTTTTCTCACTTCCACTTTAACTTCCACTTTCATCGCGCACACCATGACAAAGATCCATACTCTAGTTGTATATCTCATTGACCAAACCCACGGCAATCTGGATGGCCCCTGAATGTAAGCACGTGAAGCCGGCTCCATTGAGCGAATTCCGATAGAGGCCGTCCTGGCCGGATCCTCTGAGATTGTTATACCAAATGGGAAGAGTAGATAACAGTACGAAGTAGCGCAGAGATACCGGGCAGTAGCTTCCCATGCCGTGATGACGTATGAGCCGAGAAGAAGCCTATTCGCGTCCGCGACGGTAATTCAGCCTAATGGCAGAGGTTACCAGGGCCTATTGATGGTATCCTCGGCGATGGACTTGGGATCGCGTTAGTTGTAGAGACAGAACTGGAGTATCACCACCCAGAGCAACAATGAAATCGCCGGTGCTCGTAGGGTAAACCTCACCGAGGGATGAGGCGGCAGTCCTCGTGTCTCCCCCGAAAGGGCTCCAAATATCCCAAGGCCAGTGCATGGAATGATAAAACTACCGTGTCGATTGCCTAATGGTTGGAAACGGTCACACTGTGTACAGATGATATGGCAAAGGTGTTTCACCGCCTCTCTGATTCATCATAGCCTATACCTATCGTCAACTCCCTCTACAATTGTGCATGGACTTCACGAGTACCCAGGGCTCAACTTGCCATGTTTCGCAGTGGCTGTCAGTAGATCTCCGGAAGCCATCGTTGACGAGACAATTTATGGTTCTTACATTTTATAGTTATCCCTCACCGTTCCGCCCCTCGTATTAAACCCCCCGGTCCAACAAGCTCCTCGCAGTTGTACACTACCTATCACCGTCTGGAAGTTACGAAAATGACCTAGCTCAGGAACCCCGTAACTTATATGCCACCTTCAGAACCTCTCTCTTCCACCCAACTCTACGGTGCCTCCTGCAACAGACTTCACGACTCTGCGTGCATGCATGCATTAGGAGCGCGTGTCTCCTGATAGGTCTCGAGGATATATAAGCCAAGATAGTTTACCACATACTCTTACACTTGCTGTCTAAGGAGCATTTAGAGGCCGGACGATTGAGACCCATGCTGCAATACGCTAACATTTCATAGTCTTAGCAGTCGGGGCACAGAGTTGAAGTGTGGTATACTAGCGATTCTAGCACTGTTCGTTCGCCCTCTGGAGGCGTGGGTATTTCCCATACCCCACCTCACTTTCACAGCCTCGTCCAAGCGTCTAACCCTTTCCCCACCCTCCCCCTTGATATCATTCCTGGCCCCTGCTATCATGATTTCCCTCACACTCTTCTTCATGTTGATTTCCTGGGATAAGCCAGCGCACCAATTATCTCCGCTATACTCTTCTCCGGCTGGAGTGAGGCAACTCAGAATTCCAGCCTCTTTTATGCCCTTGCCATGGTGGCAGTCGCGCTGCGTCTTTAGTCTCAAGTCCTAAAAGCAAAGCTCTTGTTCTTTAAATGACTATGCATTTTTAGTGGCACATCTTCTTATGCTAGGTCTGGTTACCATTACATGGACTTGTCAGTACTGGCCTTGGATATACTTACACCTGACTGACTTTAGACAGCTGTACTCTAAGCAGGTTCTAGTTACCATTTCGTTAACGCTACGTCCAAACACCAAAGCCATATCTTTGTCATATTTGCCGCAGGTCAACCAGTGTGGGGAGTAGCGAATACGGCCGTGAAATTCTCCACCCTTCACTTGCCCATTGCCGTATTTCCAAGCCAAACGTTTCGGAAAGCATGCTACGGAACAATGGTGGTGTCTGTCAGTCACTTCGCCTCTGCATTCCTCAAAACGTTTCTTAAGTGCAAGCCAGTGCAACTCAAATGGATAAGACAATCATGGGAACCTACAGGAAGCACTCAATAATTGCATAGGTTCTTTCTGGAACAACAAGTTTGGTCATCAATGTCTTCGTTGTTATTTGCCAATGCCAATGCTGTGGCAATTACGGCTACCATTAGGCAAGAAGGTTGAACTATCGCGACGTGGAATGTAAGTGCAGTGAAACTCCTTGTTGGCAGCCAAAGGAGTCCAACTAATGGTCCTCAGTATCTGCGTCATCACGCTTCTTCGCGTTGTGTACCTTGCACAAATGGACCTGAACATCTTTACCTACGCCTCGCCTAATCTTGCGACTTAGTCCATCTTAAAGCCAACCTTAGGCATTATCAACACCAGCTTTCTAGTCATGCGTCCTGTGTTCTCCCAACTCCTCTTTTTAAAACCTCTCGAGTTATCCGCAATTTAATGCATAGTAAGCGAGCAACCACCAGAACAAAGTACAGAACAATCTAGCATGAGCCGAAACATCTAGTATACTATATCTCAATCAAAATTATCAAACCAGAGCAACTTCCACAGGCTAGGAGACCCGATGGATCAACTGTGTCCCCTTAACACGATAAATTTAGTCAATAATCCAGACCACGGCCAGGCACTAGGAACAATAACAGGGAGCGATAAGACAAATCGTAATCATCTCCAACTCAGCCAGGGCGCTATCAGAATGGCCACGACTTGGAACTTTCATAAAGTTCACCGCTATCGATTCGAGCGGGCCGAGCATCCCTCCAAGACCTTTCTCAATGAAAGCGAGCTGGGATCTTAGTTAAGGATAGAGCGACCTTGTCGTAAGACCCGCTCCTCGCTGAGTCTTCAGAGTATTCTCTCCAATCTGATTGGGCTCGTTGTAGTTTCATTGCCTGCGCTTGTACAATGGCCTCATCAGAGTGAGATTTTTTGTCAAGGGCATGATATTGTATTCCTATCTTTCCTTGCAGGATGGGGCAAGTCTCTTCTCAAATATGCTGAAATCTAGACGCATGCGATTCTCTTTTGAATTAGATTCTTAGCTATACACTCTAAGGGGAAGCTATCCTGTGGGTTGCTAGTGGCGGAGGAAATACTACATGTCTTCATTGTATAACAAGCATCTACTCAGGACACCTATGCATATAATTCCAGCTGTTTCCTTAGCTCCAACAAGGACCTGGAAGGATTAGGCCCGTTTTATTGTGTTCTGTTTTAAGTGGGAAGAGCTGAGGACATCGACGGTATAGAACACTAAGATTTCTAGTTCTTCGCATCCTCTTTACTCGATAGCGCTGATGGGGAATCTTTGCCTCTTAAATCCTCTCTTATGCTTCTAGTACCCTCCAATACACAGCACCAGCCTTAAAATGACATCTGCTCACGCTATCACTGGCGCAACCCCCTCATGTTTGGCCTTAGTAGGTGTTTAAGGAATGAGTGCTCCTACATGGTTGGATGAATGGCCATGGGTGAGCATTTGCGAAGAAGTCAGAGTCACTAGAGCAGTATTGACTGCTGGCAGATGATTTTATTTGAGAATATATATCAAATTTCCTATCTAAACCCAGGGCAAGTCACTCAGTTCACTCCTTTGCGCTTGAGAGAATAGTGACTGGCGAATAGATGGGTCAGCGACTGGTTTCGCTACTTCAATTCCCCATCCGAACATTCTGAATTACCTTGTTATCATAGAGCATACTCCCTTGCAAACTCTCTTCTTGTAGAACAAATTGGGTTTATATCTAACGGGACCCTAGTTATCCTAATAGCACCATCATTGGAGACGAGGATGAAGGGAAGGATGAAGAAGACCGGTATGAAGTGAATGGGTATGAAGTAACTAAGTATTAAAAAGTCAAGTGTGAGGAAGATAATGATAAAGCTTTTAGTAAACGACGAGTTCTATTTGTAAAAGTCTTAGTGAAAACAAAACTTCGACGATTGTAGGCAACGCTCTCAACCGAACGAAACGAAACGAAACGTAGTAATCGACGGACGTCAACGTCTCACTTTCCTGCTACGTTTGTACAGCCCGGGCGACTTAGCTGTCTGTTTCGCTGCTGAACTAAAACGCACTAAAATTCTTATACTTTTTAACATTTTATCTTACTTGCTGCTGTTAACATTTTATAGTATAGTAACTAGCTGCTTTTAGATAAGGTTTATAAGCTTAATTAAGTTGCTTTTTATAACTTAATAACATAGCTAATTCTTCTGCAATTAAAGCGCCTTAATAGTAGCTCTAGAGAGAGAACCTCTATTAATTATAACTGTACGCTAGCCTCTACTAAAGGCTCTCTCGCAGTCGCAGCTAGTGGAGGGTATAGCAAGGAAGTTAAGGGTGATTTTAAACAGCGTAGGATACTGTTTTTAACCTACTTTAAGCTACTAAGTAAGAGAGCTAGCTTATAAAAAATAGCTATCTCTTACCTTAGCGTCTTAAAAGTCTTCTACATAAGTGTTAAAGTATTACTATAACTCTATTGTTTTCTAAGCTTTCTTATAACTCTAAGCCCTAGTAAGAAAAGAAGTGTTAACTATAAAAGCTTTTTAGTAATAAGAGTTATAAAAGCTTATTACTAGAAGCTTCTGCTAAAGGGGATCTATATTAACTTCCTTATCTTCTTTAGCATTAATGTAACGCTAGAAAATAACCTTTATTAAGGTCTCTGCCTTCTAGTACTAGGATTAGTAATAACGCTAGTAGTCCTTAAACTAGAGTATATAAAGTTATAGGTTAAGTATAGTAGCAATTACTAAGTAAAAGATAAAAAAATTAATAACTATTTTTTAAAAATATGTGTTAATTTTTTTAAGTTTAAAGAAGACGCTGTTTTTAAAGTAACTATTATTAAGCTTAGAGGAAAGTTTCTCTTTTATTTATAATAGCTTATTATATAGCACTTATATGTTAATAATAGACATCTATAAAGAACTGTGCTTGCTGTTGCCTTTTAGCTGTTTTATTATTTAATAAAAGACTTTAAGGAACTTAGTAAGGTGTTTAACCTTCTTTTAGTCTTCTTTACTAATAATCTTTTAAAGAGCTGTGTTGCTAGGTATGTTAGAGTCCTTAGTGTTGTTATCTATGCTGCGCTACTTTTAGATAAACTTAGTAATTAGATCCTTAAGCTCTAGGCACTGTACAAGCATTAGATATACAGAATGCTAGCAGACGCTACTGTCCTGTATTAAATTAAGTGTGCTAAAGCTCTAGAGCTTGTCCTTTTCTTCTAGAGATAATTATACAGCTATAAAGGCCTTCTAGTGTTTATATAATAAGAGGATAGCATTAATAAAGTTGTGTAGCTTACTAACAACTTTATGTTTATAATAGAGCTTAAACTAATCCTAGGGAGCTGCGTTTATAAGAGCAGCTTTAAATTATAATAATCCTTTACTATAGATAACTGCCTTTAGCACTAATTAAATTATGTGGCCTATACAGCGTATACAGTGCTTTTTATTAAGGTTAACTCTAAGATATTTAGCTAGAGTGTTAATAGTAGAGTTGTTGTTGTTAAACATGTTGTTAGTAATAAAATAACTAAATTTTAACATAATTTTATAATTCTAAATAATTTTAAAGATAGCCTGCGCTTAGTTAGCCCTTATATAGTTACTATAAAAGTTGTAAAAGCTAATAAGTAAGTCTTATTATTAATAATTAACATTTATAAGGTAGGAGTTAGTTATTATTTATTATTAGTTTTCTAAGCTAAGACGCTAAAATAGCCTCTCTAAGGTTTTACTAAACTTACTAAGGAAGTAAGCTACTACTCTAAGAAAAGAAAGGTAGTTTAGTAAAGTCTATATATTAACACTTAACACTACCTTTAACTTAGCTAATTTTAATATTATTTAAATCTTCTCTTTCTAGCGTGTTAACCTCTGCTTTATATATAATAATATTGTTACATCTAAGCTTAGAATAGCAGCAAGAAGATCTAGTTAGTTCTAGGTAAAAAGGCTTTAGAGTTTAGCTAAAAATACTATTATAAATAATATATTGTAAAGTATAACCTAGTCTACTAATAACCTCTGCAATAACCCCTCTTACTAGAGATTGTAGGAAGCAACTTAGGCTAAGCCTGCTACTATAGCAGCTGTTGCTGCCTAAGGATTAGGTAGAGTATAAGAAGAATTAAGTAAGAGACCTTTATTACTACTAATATTAATTCTGTGCTTCTTTTTAAGATAGTAGCTAATATAGCTATAGCTGTTAACTATTTTAGTAGCAGCGTAATTACCTCTGTAATAGCAGAGTTAGCAGAGCTAGAGCTTTACTCTTAAGCCTTCTCTAGTGTACAGCAAGTTAGCTTTATAGTTCTACACTGCTAACGCTTTCTTGTTACCTTAGAGCTAAGAAAAGTGTTTTATATAGTAACTTAGCTTCTTTACTTTTAGCTTTTTACTAGCAAGCTATATATTATCCTACTCTATTAGAAACATAACTCTTAGATTAAGGAGAGAATCTCTAGGGTGTTTTCTTGTGTAAGAATTATATACAGAAGCTAGAGAGCTATTATAAGATAAGAACTTTAATAACAATAATTGCAACTTCTCTAGGTAACAGGAACAAGCGTAATAAATTATGTTACTACCCTAGGTTAACTAAGAGCTCTAAGAGCTCTACAACTAGCTAGTGCTCTGCGTAGAGGCTTGTTAACTAAGGAAATTACGCATAGTTAACATAATATTAAGATATAGAAAGATTTAGCAGTGTTAATTTAGGTGGGAAACACTGCACCTAGGTTATTAGGCAATCTTACTTTTTAATTAACAACTAGCTTATTAAAAAACTTGTCTAACAGTGCCACAGGTCCCCACCTATTAATGTCTAAGCTAATAGGCAATCCCTACCTAAAAGTTAAGCTTTTAAGACGCAGTACAGTCCGCAGCTATAACTTACAAGACAAAACAAAACGTACAAGGACTATACTACGTTTGCTACGGCTCACGTGACAGTACTGAGACGAAAAGTATGAAACGTAATTCGTACGGTTGAGAGCGTTGATTGTAGGTGTGCATAGTCTCAATAGCTACGACGCTGTGGGGGCAGCTCTAACTGTGAAGCTTTTGAGAGCACCGAGGGCATGAGACTCTGAGTTGATTTCTAAATGAGTGTACCTAGGGGTCTATATATACGAAGGAGTGGGCTAGGTAGTAAGTGGTTAGTGAATAGGGCTAGGTGGTGGAGTTCGGCAAGCTTCGTCGCTGCAAACACTAAGCGCTTTACACCAAGTGCTCAAGGGATCTCTTAAAGTACTTAAGAGAGCATGATTAAACTTGATTTTTGATTCCACTAGTATTGGTACTGGCGAGGGCTTACCGGTTTTCCTATCAGTCATTTGAACCTTCACCTTCGGTAGCCTTGGTTTTACGCATACTGGCCATGACCACGCCCATTGCGGATCCGCTTGTATACTGAAGAGTCCTTTCTCAAAGGAGGGGGAGAAGAGGAAACGCAATACGTGGAGCAAGAAGCTATTTACTCTAACTTTTCCTAGAATTTGAGCAAGCCTGGAAAGTGCGTACAGGGGTCTACAGGACTTCATCCATGGTTATTAGACAGACAAAGTGAATCAAACTGATGGTGAGTGGCTGAATCTAATACCAATTACAGAAGATCGGAGAGCTTGGCCTAAATTTTAGCCCAGATCTTTTTGCTGGGACGTAATTTGGTTGTGCCAATTTGGGAAACTTTGGACCATTTCGAGTTATGAGTTCAGCATATTTTAGACGGGACTTGTAACGAAAAATGATATATAGATCCAGTTAATATGACGAGATTTACAGTTCCAGACCGTTTTGAGTTTCACAGTATCTCTATAGCTCAGTTGGTCTATTATTACTCCCCTGCGATTTTAGAAATAAGTTTAGACAACGATAATCATATAGCATACACACCTGTGAGATACACAGGAGAGGATTGGGTGACGATTTGTATATACTTTCCCTGGAAAGTCATCTCTTCTGCTATTCGGCGTTCTTAAAACCTTGAAGCGATTTTGTACCCAGGCCAAGCACGATCTTCAAGTTGTTAATGCCATGGCTGCCCCCTAAAGGCTCCACATTAATACAACACACTTCTTCTGCATCACTATTAGACTTACCGATATGGGTCCTTAATTTGTTAGGGCAGATAGCTTTCTGATACTTTCGGAATTCCCGGGAGACCGTGCGACACACATTATAACGGAATCTCACCAGAGGATTGTTTGTACTAAGCCTTGATTAGCGCGTAAAACGAGGCACGCGCTTCACCTTTACCTAAGTACCCCTGGCTGTGGCATGCATGGTGCTCTATGAGGCCCGTGCATGCAGACTATTTGGGGATAGCATGTTGCACAGTTCTGCAGTCTTCGTCCACTTTCGCTTTGTAAGTTATGGCTATTATTGCTTCTTGACATCAAGTCGCCTTCGGGATATCTTCGACGAATCAAGCATGGAATCCAGCACCTTTGAACTTTTTTTTTCCACACCTCCTTTTCCGAAGCCTCGGCAGCTCGGCAGCTGAGCAGCTGGGCAGCAATGGCTATTTAAATGAACAGCCACAGCGCTCGAGACATTTATGCATAATCCTAGCGATGAATTTCCTTCGTTCTTTTGAACTCAACATATTCCAAAGAACTCAATTACAGAGCGAACCTTGCGATGGAGCCATTCGAAGAGGATGACCAACATCTCCTCCCTGAGGGAAAGTCCAGAAAGCGCAGATTTTGGAAGTCAAAGGCTAAGGGACGTCTATCATGGTGTCGAATATTCATGATCGTGTTGTTTCTTGTCATCTTAGTAGGCCTCATTTCCGCGGTCGGGTACCTTGCCAGCATCACACGCGTTTTAATCCAAGACAAGAATAGTGTCGATGGTAAGGCCATCGACAAGCGGATGTTCGACAGATTCAATCTAATGGAGCAGTACGCAGCTGCTTCATACTGTGAGCTCAATGTTAACACCACCGGCTCGAAAGTGACTTGCTCGGCAGGCAATTGTCCCTTGGTTGAGGCAGCCGACACGAATACAGAGGTGGAGTTTATCAAGTAGGTCTCCTTCCCTCCAATCTTTCTGCGGAATCCTCTAACGCATACTCAGTGTTGGAGCGACGGATGTTACCGGCTTTGTCGCCACCGATCATACGAATCGACTCGTTGTCATATCTTTCAGGGGATCGGCTACGCTGCGAAATTTCATTACGGACGTCGTCTTCTCAAAATCCGAGTCAGATATCTGCGCAAATTGTAACGTACATGACGGCTTCTGGATTTCCTGGGCTGAGGCGCGAGGTCGTGTATTGACAGCACTGATTGACTCCGCGAAAAAAAGGACGGGATACCAAATGGCTATCGTTGGACATAGCCTCGGAGGTGCAATTGCCACCATGTGCGCGGCGGAGATGAGGAAGAAGGGATGGAGTGCAGAGCTGGTAGGACTACACCTTTTGAGAAGGAGGACAATAGCTAATGAATGCAGTATACGTTCGGGGCACCTCGCGTCGGAGACGAGTCGTTTTCTCAATTCGTTACGGGTCAGGGATCAAATTTTCGTGTCACACATTACAACGACATTGTCCCTCGACTACCGCCCCTTTCATTTGGCAATAAAGCTAGACGTGAGAGTGATAGCGACGTCAAACATGCACTAGGCAAGAGAGGCCAATTCGACGGGTTTGGATTCGTCCATATTTCGCCAGAGTATTTCATCAGGAGTGGGAATAACGTTACAGTAAAATGGGATGATATCGACACATATTTCGGCTTGGTCACATTCAAGGGAAACACGGGGCAAGCTGTAGCTTCTATTGATGCCCATCGGTGGTATTTCAACGCCATTAGCAAATGTGCGTCATGAAAACCATTGGGTTTAACGAAGCTTCCACGCCTGGTCTGTCTAGTGCCAAGTCAATGCGTTGGCCCTGGTCTTCTCTTGTGAATCAACCTTCCTTGGGCGCGACCATGGACTCTGCCCAATTTTTTTTGAGAGTGGTGGAGAGCAAAATCCAAGGAGGAGAAATTCCGATGAAAGAGTTTTGGAATATCCAGCCATTCGCCTGAAAAAAGTTTGGTTTTTTCCCCTGCTTTTTGTCCTTCCGCAACGCTAGGTCTCTCTTAACTTTGCTCCACTCCACGGTCCCGCCTGCCCAACGTCGTTCCACCAACGTCGCTTCGCAAATGGGTATCTCATGACCCACAAATCCGCCCCCACAGGATACACCAGAAGATGACATTCTAAGATTCGCGCTGTGTCCGCATCCCTTGAACTCGGAAGGCCATAACAACCGGATTACGTTCTGCGATACCAGATTTCGCCACTTCAACATATGTACCAGTTGCTTCAACACATCTATCCGACATACTAGATACTCCAAGTATTTTGCAGACATGCCTACCAGTTACATTCATACGCGGTGCAGCTTCGCCACCTTCTGGGTGCGCGAAGCCTGGGTGCGGATTGTTCGCACGGAAGATCCTAGCAGCATTCGTCTTTTGGCCACGCTGGCAGCCATCTGTGGGAGACTTGACAAGTGCCCGAATGGGGTTTTTCCATTGGCGAATGGAGCCGACAAACCGAAAGAGGCCGGGCAATGGTTCGCCTTCTAGATCCGGATAACCCAAGCGTTATTATGGACCAATTCACTGTTTGTGGATTCTACGTCATGAATATCTACAAGTTGCTATCGACAGTGGGCAAGAAAACCCCTTTCAAGCTCGTATCTGCTGCGCCTGCCCTTGGCACTTGCGATCTTGTACCTGGCCAATCAAAATTGACTCTGGAATACTTGCAGCTGCTGATTTATGGAGAGGCTGAGTCGACGTTAAATGGAAAGGATATTGATCTTACACAATTTCACACCTATGTGAGGTATTTCGCGCATACACCAGAGCGCAGGCGAACGGAAATTGCTTATGGGGATTGCTATATCATGCCAGCTATCCCTAATTTTGCAATCTGCCCCGAATGCTTCGTAGATCTTGCGCAAGCAGAAGTCGAAACAGGTGGATGATTAGCCTCAAAACTCCAGGCTGTATGTGCCCCTGAAGGCTTCCGCCGCCATGTCTACTCCAATCGAATGAGGGACGTTCTACTGGAGTGTCTCCGCCAAAATGATCTAAATTCTCTTCGAAGTCATGTCGAAGGTCAGGAGAGAATGAGCCAAGAGTTTGGTATGCAACTGGATGCATTGCAGACACAGCTCGCGCAGTTTGAGCAGCAGGTTATCTGTCACGAAACTTCCGCGACGATTCAAATGCCAAGCCCGATTAACCACAGCATTTCCGTGCAAATGGAAATCGGCACCATCCAAATTGAATGTTTCGGTCCCTTTCCCACTGTTGCCTTCAATGTGCTAATTTCCCTTAGCTGCAGACGGATTCACTCAAGAGAATAGACTGAGTGCAACGGCCACGCAGACAAGGATGAATACTCAACGAATCGCCACAGCTATCGACGCTCTCAGGGTAGACTGGAGGAGAACCGTGGAATGATCATATTGCACTGTGCTTGATATCAAGGAAGGTAAATTCGCACTCTTAAGGAGCATTAATAGAGTTGAATATGCAGGGAAGAATAAAAATAAGGATCATGTGACTATTTTACATGCACTTGGACAGCAGCTAGTGCAAGAGCACAAAATTCAAGATGCCCTCCAAAGCAGAGTGCAGCCTCCAATGATCTCTCACATCCTCAAACACAAGATGTGGCTATGCAAAGAGGCCCACGGCAAATGCCAGCCTTGGCTCTTGGAGCTGAAACCTGCATCCAATGCCTCGCAACCATTAGCGAGGCTGTCAATTCTGTTGCAGCACAAACACCATTTCCGAACGCCACGATACGTAATCACGGACTGCAATCATCCCGCCCAAAGAGTAAGACAATGTCATTTCTCGCGTCGCCAAACCTATTAGCGAAATCCAAGATCCCAATCTGCATGCTTGGATCGCGACGCGCTTCAGCCTTCCAGCCACAATTCTAAGTTTGGGACAAAGCAATCGCCATTTTGTGGCTCAGCTTGAAATGTGCTCTCTTAAATCTGGTGTCGATCCAGAAGCCTGGTTGAGGACCTGCAGCCTGAAACACTCCGCATTCTGACATCTTCCCCAGCTTTGGTATTTTGACCTTGTGTTACCCTTGTAAAGATCAACAATAGGTGAAAAGAGAAATCAACTCAGGTCGTCGATCAGATCGACAAAATAAGATGTCGTCTCACCCAAAATGGCCTAGACTGCCAGTCCAGAGTACGTAGAACCCGATTATTGCACGAGCTCTGAGGTTAACTCCAAAACAGATGGGACTCAAGTAACAACTGCTAGGAAGTCGGTCACAGATGCAGAAGCCGAAAAAACTCCAGCATCAATACCCCAACCCAGCTTCCAAAGTGTTACCGTAGTTCCTGCGGAATCCATCACCTCAGAAACCACCCACTCCGCAGTTCCACCGTACACAGGGACTGAGGCCCCCATACTTCAGGGCTATTGCAATACTCTCGCCTACACGATTTTAGATGGGCCGACGGCATATTGGGTACCGGTGATAGGATGTATTAGTTCGAAGTCGGATTGTTGCGCATCTTCGACAGGTTCTGGAGCAGCCAAAACAGCGGCCGGCGGAGCCGGCCCAGCGTTTCCAATTTCATCCTTCCCGGCCCAAGAAACTTTGAGTGGTTGTCCGAAAGATTACCACACAGTCGGTGGAACGGGGTGCTGCCCTTCGTGAGTTGCCCTCAATAGGTTCTATGCGAGGGTCCCACGCTGACGGGAATTAGACTGTACTTTCCATGGAGTACGGCATTTGGCGGCCAGGTGCCATGCTACTCTTCGCTCGGATCCGCCATAACCCCACCACCAATGCCTGATACTCTTGTGGGCGGAGGCACCAAAACTGGCTCTGCAGCCGCCGCAACCGCAAAGCCAACGTCCGCCATCGTGAACATTGCCTATGCCCTACAATACCAAGTCAATCCTCCCCCGAAGCCGCCCTTATTGGAGAAGAAGGCGAAAATCGGCGTGGGAGTTGGTGTCGGCGGGGCAGCTCTTGTCTTAGCTGTGCTGGTATGGCTGCTGGTCAGGAATTGCTGTGCGCATAAGAAGGTGAAAAATGATTTACAGGAGACAAGTGTCAGAAGAAGATTTGGGAGTGGAGTGGATATGAGCCACGTCGCTCAAGGTCCTGCTCAACCTCCAGCATCGAGAAATTTTGGCGGTGCGAAATACACCGGAGTGTCGACACAAGCTTAATCGTTCAAGGCTCCTGGATGCATTTTGTTTAGGGGAAACGGAAGGAGTTCGGCGTATGTTTTGGTGGAGTAAATCCATATCATGGGAAACAGTCGTTTTAAGCGGGAATGGCGGCCAGGAACAGGCCGGACACATGTCAATCCTAAACTCAAGAGCGTGAAATTTGAAGTCGCAGTGGACCTCAATTCCCTCTTCTTACACATCTTCAGATCCGTTTAGATCAACTCACTCCTAACTGTGGTCTTCGGTGATCTCAACGGGTGATTCGATAAAGGCTTGGTGACGGTGCTCCCAAAGTCTTCCCAGTCAATCTGTCTATATGTTTCTCGTCACATTTACTCGGTTTCCAACTCGCTTTTAGTTTATATTCTCTAAGGACAACTCATCTCCGCAACGAGTATAAACCCATGAGTGGCGGCCGGAATCGCTATATTGGCCGGTGGATGTATCAATAACAATTCCGTCAAAGGCTTCAACTTGTTGACACTTGCATGTGTACCGGGGATGAGCTCGGATATGTTGCCCCGGTGCGTCGCCAAAGGGGAGGTCGTATTGTTGGTACTTGGCAACCTTGATGGGACACTGTGGTGCTTTATAGCCAACGATCTCATCATAGCATCGAGTTGGGAATTTGGAAGCCGAAGACAGTGATGGATTGACGATCCCATGAACCTGCAGGATATATGGTCTCTTTGGATGGTTTGTGAAAACCGCTGGTAGCGTCGATCATTCAATCTGTCATATCCGTTATTGGTGTCCTAACGCTTCACCTCCCGGACTACTCTTCTCAGGTGCTTTAGAGGCTGTTTTAAAGCCTAGCATGTCCACGTACATGCCCTATGCCATAAATCAATAAACCCCTCCCCCCATCGGCAAGGCGTGTCGGACGCAGGGAACCTAGGCGCATAAAACGATAGAGATCGAAGTTTTCGTTGTATAAATCGTGGAGATGGTCTTGCAATTCTCGAAGGGTTATTGCTCGGTTTACTTGGGGGACTCTTTTGCGGCCGCTCAGATCCGTGGCTTCTATTTTTGCATTACAGTTCTCAACTAGCCACATAGGTCGATCATATGCATCAAAAGATCTGTCAGCGAATATTCCTAACACGTCACTTCTACATACCTGCTGAACGTTGTTCTCTGCCACTGATAGAACCCTGAGTTCCTCGAATGGGTAACTATCGCTCAAGATTCGACTCGGCGGAACAGATCGCGAAGCTTCCACGGAATTCTTATGAAGTTTAGATATTGGATCGGTTTTTTCTATGTGCACAACTTTCATTGTATCGCCAAAGACAATTATTACCGGCTTGAAGATGTGTTTTCTCGGACTAATCTCAAATTGAATCCCCCTGAGCTTTTCTTCTTAAGTCATCTACGCATCGACGGTGTGCTCGACTCCCACTTATATAGCCACTAATAGCTAACAACGATATGATGCGTCTCTACACTATTAACCTATAGTTATTAGGCGTGACAACGCAGTCTTGTGCTGCCTCAGGGGCTTTTTGGGATCATACCAGCCAGACACCGCATTAGCACCGCCAACGAAAACTCTTATAGCTAAGTGGTCTTTCGACTTAACTGGATCCACAGCCTCCCATGCATGCATGAGGAAAATGGTTTCCCCTTTCGCGAGTAAGGGCTCCAGCATCTCCGGGAATCGCTTCCTCGGCAGGAGTAAGAATCTTTGTCAGTTAGCAACAATATGTATGCGCCTAGATTGGGTAGAAGCACTGAGGTATCTCCATGTCGGTCGGGCACTCGAATAGTACGGCGGAATGTGATTTTTTAGATCCCCATTCCGAAGAGGGACTGTATCTGGCCAGGTTACTAAATGATAAAGGATCTCCGAATCTTCATCGCTGATCGCTGATAAGCCGGTAGTCCATTGGTGTCATACATCGTAGAGAATACCCGCTGTTCCCGTCGTTCTGAACTGGGTTAGGTTAACGGCATCTCCCCGGAATGTGGTTGAACACCCAGCCGACAAAAGCACGCATGCCAAGTTAAGGTCCTGTCTACATGAAACAAGCAGTTGGCTAACCCTGCTTGCTCACATCGAGCGAAATCATCTCAATTCCCACTCCAGCTTTGGAAGCAGTCCGGCCATCGATGTTATCGCGGGATGGAGCGGGATTAGTGAAGGGAGCTTCAAGAAGAATGAATTCTGGCTACGACGGATCGTGTCAAGAGACTTCGGTAGGGGTCGAACTGGACAATGTTAGGCACAAGTTGGGTGGTTTTGAAAGGAAGAAGCACTCAATTGCATCAATGTACAGAATTTTAACCAATAGCGCACAGCTTGCACTGCCAAGCTCTTGGCACGCGCACAGGTCAAAAGGACGAACAACGAACTGCAAACCTAGAAAATAAACCATAATAAAATCTTAGGACGATATTACTGAAATCGAAGATAAGAGACAAAAACAATAACGTTTGCTGAAGAGGATTGCTAAGTTGCAGAATAATTTCTCTTGTTTTAGCACTGCTGTACCATTTTATGACCATTTTCCTGAAAGATTTGACTCCAGCCAGCTTTTTGCATCGCACAATAATCTGTCCCGCTGCAGGGCTAGCGTGCCAGCGTGCCAGCGTGCCAATGTGCCAACGTGCCAACGTGCTAGTTTTCACGCCTCCATCGCGCAGTTTATCCACCATTCATTACTAGCCATTGATATCGAGACTACACCATGCGATGACCGCCCACAGTCCTGAATCTTGTTACAGCTCTCCTTGGCATGTAGCTACCCCTTGGGCTCGCTAAAGTGCTCGAACTCTACCCTGGAACTGGTTCCTCGATCCTTCTCCGGGCATCCTCGGAGGCACAGCCTTAAAGCTCCTGTGCATTAAAAGCCCTGAAGAGCTTCACAAAATGAGTTTATTCGGTCTGTACTGGGGTCTTCTCCGACATGACCAACACTTCATACCCTAGATGTGGTCGGTTATTATCCGAAACCCCAGATTGGGCTCATATATCCACGACTCTTCCAGAAGTCAACCCGCCGGGAACAGCATGATGCGGGGAGATCTCTCCCTTGGGATCTATTCAAGCTTTCCGCCGATCTGCAAACCCGGGTATCCGCATATTAATCAGGAAGGGCTGACGACTAAAATATGAAATCGCCCTACTATATACGCAGCTCAATGTACATGTTGCATTCGCATAGTCTAGCTTAATATGACGCTCAATGATGGTACTCTATATTGCAGATATCTTCGGCTTTCTTTGTTGGAATTATATCCAAGGTTGCACTTGTAACGTCGCACCACCTTAATTCGATGATCATTCCACTTCTCAATTCGTTCCTTTTGACGCAGCTCATATGGACTAGATTAGCGAATTCGACATTTTACGAATTGACTGCTCCTATATAGGATATATCTCTCCCACCCTACGTTCTCTGTCTGTACCACCGAGCTCCCAACCTTCCTAATGCTTGTTCCGTGACCTGCACCCACTATCATGGCACCTCCCTGGACAAAAATTCTGCGAGCGTGGACCTTTGGCATAATAGGTTTCACCAGTATCGCCAATGCCGCCATCACAGTCAACAGCACCATCCTTGTCATCGCGCGGGACTCCAACGCCACCTACTCTGGAACATCCGTTCTTCAGGGCTACGGCATTCCCTACTTCGTCGTCAACATTTCGCTCAAAGGTGGTGGATTCCCGCAACTCAACTCCACGCCGGATGCCGGAAACTTTGGCGGAATCGTTGCTGTGAGCGCGACAGATTATAACGGGGGAGATGACTGGAAGACCGCGCTGAGTGACAAGCAATGGCAGCAGCTATACAAGTATCAGGAATCGTTTGGTGTTCGCATGGTTCGATTGAATGCGTGGCCTAGTGCAGACTTCGGGGTTCAGTCTACCGGTAGTGCAGGCGTGACCGCAGATCAGCCTGTTGCGATTACGAATGTGAAGGAATTCTCGACTGCGAACATAGTGGCGTAAGTGAACGGATTCGCAGATATACTAAACTCCGATTGTCTAATCTCATCTGTCCCCAGTGGAGCCCAAATGAGCACATCCGGCATCATCAAGTACCCAGCAAAAATCACCAACACGTCCCTCGCAACGGAAATTGCCCAGTTCATTGGCACTTCGAAAACCACCGCAGCTGTCATTAACAAGTTTCCAAGCGGACGTGAGCAGCAAGTGTGGTTCATGCCTTTCGCAACCGACCACTCTACAGCCTCTACGCTTCTCTCGCATGCTTGGGTCCAGTGGATTACTCGCGGCGTTTACCTCGGTTTTAGACGCGTGTATTTGAATACCCAGGTCGATGATGTGTTCCTGGAGACGGAGCTTTACCAGACAAATAAGGCTTATCGGCTCAAGCCTGCTGACTTCGAGGAACATGTTGCTTGGATGAAGGAGTTGAATGGGAAACTCCCCGCTGGAAGTAATTATGTTATCGAGTTAGGCCATAACGGCAATGGAAATATTGAAGCAGCAGTGAGTAAGGACTATGACAATAGCCCTGCCAAGTGTGATCCACAGGAGGGGATCGAATACTCTACGCAAGTCGATGGTCCAATGGAATACCACAAGCCCATTGGTACCGGGAAAGACCTGTGGAAGTCGAAGTTTAAGAGTTATCAGTGGTCAATGACCTGTTCTCAGTTGGACCCAATGGAGGTATATTTCGCGAATACGGCGAACAGGAACTCTTTCTTTCATGTATCAGTATGTGGGACCCAAAACCCAACACTGAGGCGACGATGAGCTAGCTAACATTTCCTAGCACACTTTGTAAGACCCTCGGAAACTCCTCCGTCTCAATTCCACACATATGTAAGACTAACTGTCTAAGCACGCACGAAGAAGAAACAAACGCCACGTACTCTGACGTCGTCAAAGAAATCACCTGGAACCAAGAATGGTTTAACAGAGTCGGTTTCACTTCCGCTGAATCCGCCCCATACTTCTCTCCAAATGGTCTCATTCCGCCCAGTATCAGTGGCCTACATAACGGTGATGCGATCCGCGCGTGGGTTGAGAACGGAATCACTTACGCTGTCGGTGACAATTCTCGCCCGGTTCTTATGAATCGGGTAGATCGGGTGTGTTTTGTGTGTCTCCGACGAAATTCTAGGGCACTGATCTATTACAGAAATCCGACTTCCATCCCATCATGACTAGTGTTGCGGAGAATGGGTATGAAGGTGCTTACATTGTTGGCCGATTTGGTTCGTCTATCTATTATAATTGTGATGTTCCTGATTGTGTGAACGCCGAATGGAAAGCTATTGCGAGCGGAAATGGAGACTTTGCTGCGCAAATGGAATACGAGAAGTCGACGAATGTGAAGTATCTCCTTGGGCTTCGCTGGGACCCGTGAGTATTCAGCGTGTTGGAGAAATTAGGGCTGGAGCGTTACTGATTCGTGCAGATACATGTTCCATCAAGCAAACATGCGAGTTTCAGATACCACTAAGTTCACGTTGAACGGCGTCAACAAGAAATATTCCCTCCTGATGGCGTGGACTGAAACCATTCTCGGAGAAGTCGTCCGACTGTAAGCACTTTCCTTCTTTCAATTTACTACACACGTCGTTAACACATCATAGCACACAATGGCCCATAATAACCCTCAAACACGACGACATCGCTAAGGCTTGGATAAATCGCAAGACTCGCGATGAATGCCTCCCAAATCTAACCTACCAGCTTTCCAGCGACCGGAAAACTATCACTGGTGTGACGGTGAATGCAGCAAATGCGAAATGCTCGACTCCAATTCCACTTACGGTTCCTTCAGGAGTGGCTAGTGCGGCGAGTGCAACGAAGGAGCAGGTTGGGAAGGATCCACTGACGCTTTGGGTCACTTTGGGGGGAAGTGCGAAGAGTTATAGTTTCTCGGGGGAGGTAAAGATCTGATAAAAATTCTAGGGCTATAGCTGCTGCAACCACTATCATGTCCCAAAATAATCAAAAAGATGAAACAGAGATTACAAAGCTTCTTAGATTTCTAAGCGAATGTCGGCGAAGACTCCACTTTAGATCGAAAAGCGGTGATATAGATGAATGGGTGACTTAGTTCTCTGTTTTCCAGAGAACTAGTCTAAACGCTTGGTTTTGGATATACTTTCTACCTCAAACAAGTATGTCCCTAGCTAATATCCCTGCCCAGGGACTGCTAACAGTAATAAGTTGTGCTAGAGAAGGGAATAGCGCAAAGTATAAGGTTATATTAACTCCAGGAAAAAGGTTTACAAGGCGGCTGGGATGATAGTCCTAAAACCGTCTAGGTGAACTTTAGTGGTCATTGCAGTAAGCTGAGCGGCTCTCTAGTCACTTCTTCGACGATTCGAACGCTATGTAGCCCGGCAAAACGATCATCGCTACTGTTGCACGTGATATTGGTTCACGTGACCCTGCGTCAGGGTGATTGTGGGTCCTTCACCTCTCACCCTTTTCCTGCTTAGAACTAGTGGTCTTTTAGCGACTATATATTTACCTCTGAGCTCTCTCGAGCTCCAGAACCTTACACCTCACCTTAATATACCTATCGTCTCTCAACACCTAATTGTCTGCTCGCCTCTCTATATATGCCCTCCATCAGCTCCATCAGCTCCATCTAGGCTCCCTGCGATAGCTGCAACAACCTATGATAATACCTCTAGGAAAGCTCTATTTGACTTGTCTCTACGCGAGAATGGCTGAAAAGTATTTCTGGATAGTACGAATCTAGCTGATATAACCGATCCACTCCTGCACGAGTTAGCGACAGTGTTTATGCAAATTGAAATTTCCCACGTAGGGACCTGAAATAACCGCAATGGTTGACACCCAGACCTCAACGAGTTGTGCTCAACAGCCTCTGGTGTGGCGATAAAAGGTCTGGTCAGTCGGCGAAGCGAATTCTTATCCTCACACAAAATGGCTATCGTCTCGGTTTGATTGTGCGCTGTGATAGTCTACTGTGCGAAAGAAAATAGTGCTTCTTTAAGCTCATGGCATTGGTGCCACCCCTCTTTTGGTTGGGTTACTTGTACCGTGCATCTTCTCCACTCTAAAGGATAAACTCTTCGCCTTGTCCACCGACTTTTGTAGCAGTTCCTTCTGTCGGTTTAATGTGCTCACTTCGGACCTCACAGAGCTGTATTTTTTTTTCCGTTCTGGCTATATCGGCTTGAACGTCATTTTTCCTCGGTTCGCATATCCCTGTGGTGTATTAGTTGACTTGTTTACCAATCTTTGGGGAGGCAACATACACAGCAGCAGCGTCTAAAAGAATTGCTATAGTCACAAATCAGAGGCCGTTCTCCGCCCAGCTGAAGAGAGTTCTTTCAAATCTCGATTCTCCACCCGAGTTTCCATGTCCCTCCCCGTGTGCGCCGAGCTTTTTTGGGACTCAAAAGGCTATTATTCTACACTATTCCTCTCCTTCGTTTTGCTCTCTAACCGAACTCTAGCTGAGTTCAAGTCTCGTTGCGCTCTTGTAATAAGACTTCTTAAATCTGACCTTGATTCATCTCGTTCGGCGTCTAAATCATGGTACGAGTAGTTAATATCGTTTACATTCTATAGTGCGATATTGGTGGAGTTCTATAGTTTTTGAAATGTGCTTTGCATATCGGTAGCGTATTCCTCCATGGTCGCTAGAGAAATCCCCTCCCGCGACTCGGTATAATACGTCAAACACCCAGCAATTCTACCACTTCCTTTACCAATCATGCCTACTATCCGCTGGATAGACGAGGTGCCATCATGAAGATCGTCCACCATTCTGGTATGGTCCTCGGCGATGGCTTTTGGGTGGACACCTCGAAGGATCTCAGCCTTGCGGTGAGGTGGGCGAGCGTAGATTCGAAAGATACTAGGTCACATTTGAGTGACAGAGAAACGGTAGAAGTTATGGCATTGGTTGTGCTCTATTATCGAAAAGAGTCCGAAAATTTCGTCTGACCTGGGGAGGGCGCTGTGGTGAAAGGGATATACTAGGTTGTAACCCCGGACAACGGTAAGATATCGAAGCACAAGCCACGGGCTGGAGGAGAAGGCCCTTCACGCGCGATTGCAGTCAAATCACCTCTTTCTGCAGCAGAAACTGTTCTATGCATTTATGGTGCACCGTTGTCACCCCATATACCCAATTCTCATTAGCCTTGGTAGCCTTCTCTGCACGCTTCCAATGTCGTTGGAAACTGAAGGCAGGCTTCACCTGAATGAGGCTCAGATGAGCGGAAGAGTCTCACTAGATATTCAAAAGATTGCGTGCTCAAGGTCCAATACAGGGTTTAGTTGTCTGACCATCTCAGCGCTTCGTGGTTGCTTTGTCACTTCTTGAGGCCTCGCTGAAATTGCTGGATAACGAAAGGCTTAAGTGGCCACCCTAGGGCCTTTATTAATACCACCATTTTGATTAGATTAGAGCAACATCACAGCGAGGAAACCTCGTACATTGCTCCGATTTAGGTAGAGAAGCGTTCCACGAGGCCGAATCAAAGATGGGTAAAGTTTTCCTGATAGCACCAGCCATTTGTAAGAGCCAAGGCACCGTTTATTACTCATCTCCTTGATCTTATTTTACTAACATTTTACATCGATTAAAAAGATTCTTGTCGCGGTCTAAGACAATGAGCTTGCTAAATTTAGGCTACCTTGGCAGTGGAAGAAACTGAAAAAGTGTCTAAAATTATTATCAAGGATATAAAGTCTATTCAGATGAAAGTCGCATATTCGAAAGACTACGCTGACAAGATTTAACTTGCATGCGAAGATGAAAATCGCGAGTCACTTCATCCTCAGCTAGGATCCTAAAGGTACGCCAACAAGTCTCATAGAAACCGTTGTTGATGCCAAGAGGGGACTTGAGTCTAAATATATCATCAAAGATAACTCCAAACATATGAAACATGATGAATTATCAGCCAAAAAGGAGCAGAAGGCTGAATCTAAGAGAATATTAGAGTTGCGCTAACAGGAGTATACATCAAGCTACTTCTCCTTAAAGACGGGTACGAAGTTTTAAATGAACTGTGGACTGTGACATGAGGATTAAGTAGCAGGAACATAGACCGGTCTGGGGGAGAAGGTAGCTGAAACACTCATGAGCTAGGCCTCGACCCTTAGCTCGTCCTTTAGTTTTAATCTCTTTTGGGGACGTACTATCACGAAGAAAGACAGCGCTGATTCAGTAGGACATTCCGATTATCTAGACTTCGACTTAGATCATGGATACAGGCTCGCAGAAAATATCAAATCTCTCCGTAGGGGGTTTTCTAAGCTTCTGCTGACGGGTGGCGACTCGACATATTACGGGATGGATTAGTCTCTATTCTGGCCGTTCTAGTGACGGGGCGAAACTGCGGAGGTTGTAGTTGGCACTCTTCAAGAACGCATAAAAATATTTTCACGGGAATCGACACCGATAATCAGGGCAAGCATGGCGTTGTTAATCCCGCCATCAGGGGTATCGTGGAGACATGTCGGGTCGTGCTGTTTGGTACTCGAGTTAAAGGGCGCGTCTCTTGCGTACGGAAGGCGATTAAGTAGGTTATCTAGAGCCGGACACTAGTCGATATATGCTCTAAGAGGGTTGAATACCTACCTAATATGGCGCGAATCCATTGAAGTTAGTATGAGACGGCCTTGGGCGGAGCTAGACTATCCAGCAACCTACTAGGCAGAAGGCGAAACGTAGTGGTGACTAGGCCGTTGATGATGCCCGCCTAAGTGCCAGAGTCCACATAGGCAAACGATATGGAAGATGCCATGAGCGCAGCAATATTAAATGTCTATGTGACAGCGTCTACAGTAAAGCACCTGCAGTGGGAGTTAAGCCTTATTGGCCTTTGCGCGAGCTGGTCCTGCTCTTACAGCTCTGCACAGCCTCAAGTATGACGGCTGATTACCATAAGTAAAATACACAGCAACAGTTACATTAGGTGTGCGAGGTTGTTTCCGCACTAGCCGGAATTGAAAACAGCTCTGATCAGAAGTAAGGTCCCTCCCTGCGTGCCGGAAAACCCGCCGTGCCAGAAAATACGAGGGGTGCTTTGACTTCAAGAGACTATAACTTAGCATATATATTAAGCTTTACTATATTTAATGGTAAGTCTTATATTATAGCTAAATTTGGATATTTGAGATATCTTCTACTTCTAAAATACGTTGGCATCGTGTGAGAGCACTGTGTGCAGGATGTATGAAGCACAGAAGGGCATAGAATAGTATTGAGAGACGAATCCTTGAGGAGACTCAGGGTTCGGGAAAGGATATATATATATGCAATAGGGCACGTGGCCGCATTTGAAAATTATTGGTTAGTTTAGAGCCAAAGCGCCAGTGTTTTATTCTAGTACACTTGGGTTTCGCAATACGGGGAGGGAGTTATTGTGAGGGGTGTTCGAACAAGGAGCGTCAGGATGTTACGAGAGGACTCAATAGATGCAGTAGAAGGGTAATCCGTAGATTGAAGAGACAGGCTAGACCTTGAGGAGCCCCCTTAGGGCCTGGGTTGAAGGTTCCTTATGTACCAAAGAGGCCGCGTCAACCTCGGGTGTCTCTCGGCCCAACCCTCGTACACTTGAGGGAGAAATAACCCTTACAGTTATCCCTCTTTTTTACCTAGAAATTGGGCCTTTAACTAGCAAATCTAGAAATAATGGAGTTATATCTTCATAAACAGCCCAGCGATTCTCTCCATACTCATGCGGGGACATTTTGACTAAAAAGACATCCCCATGAAATGAGAAGTGCACACCATCGCTAATCTCGCTAACCCAGGCAGGAACAAACATATTTCGCGGTAGGCTGTCGAGGTCGAAAGAATAGAAGACGTAATAGGCTCCCACACAAGATAAATGCTGATGTTGTAGAGTATGATACTGCTGATCAAGAAGATACCGTTGCCGCAGATGAAACAGTTTCTCGCGATTGAGGGGTTTGAAAGAGTGAAGCAATTGTTGAAGATCATGCTTTTGCTGGAGATGATGCGATCGCGGAATGTCATCATGTTGCAAGAGATCAAGTCTCAGAAGGTCGCGACGTCTCCAGGCTTGCTCCGAATTCCAGTAGCGGCGTAGGTCAGGAACGTGGAAAAGGAAGCCGTCTGTGGCTTTGGAGTCGCTAATTGTGGTAAGGGAGAGGAGATGAGCAGGAGTGCCGTCGGATGGTATCCTAACTCCAGTAATAGTTACAGTTGGAGGACTTGGCGGTAGCTCCTCTTTCCAGCCAAGCAAGGACCAGATTGTACTAAACATTTTGAAAGTAAGTGTAGGATAGTCTTGAGAAAGTAGGGCAATGATGTAGATTCTGGAGATGAGGGGCACAGCCTGGCAACGATAAACGCGTACGCTCAGCTGCTAAAAATAAGATGTAACACTTTTAAAATAATATACTGCAGCTATATATAGAGTTTTTTAAAAGATAATAAATAACCTACATACTAGATAACTTTTATAAGCTAATTCTATAGCTAACTTATAAAGGCTAAGTAATAATAAAAAGTAGGTAATTATTAAGCCTATGCTTAAGCTATATACATAAAGATTTTCCTCTTAGCTAGTAGCTATTACTAATATAGCTAATTCTTTACGCGCTAAGTCTAATCTAGGCTATATTAGCATAAACTAGCCTAGTATATTTATAAAGTGTTATCTAAAGCTTAAAGTAAAGTTAAAGTATAAGCATAACTATAAAAGAGCTTTTTAAGAGAATCTTAAAGTAATTTAGAGCTAGTTTAGCTTTATAAAGAATATTAAAGCTAAGTATAGCATTTATAATAATAACACGTACAACTTTAATAAAAAAGGCTTTATAATAAGCTAGATATCTACTAACTATACTTATACTTAAAACTTTACTTTAAGCTTTAAATAACACTTTATAAACATACTAGGCTAGTTTATGCTAATATAGCCTAAATTATACTTAGCATGTAAAAAATTAGCTATATTAGCTATAACTACTAGCTAAAAGGAAAATTGTTACATATATAGCTTAAGTATAAGCTTAATAATTACTTACTTTTTATTATTACTTAGCTTTTATAAGTTAGCTATAGAATTAGCTTATAAAGGTTATCTAGTGTATAGGTTGTTTATTATTTTTTAAGAAACTTTATACATAGCTATAGCATGTTATTTTAAAAGTGTTATGTTTTATTTAAAAGCCTAAAGTATAAGCTATATCTAATATTTTTTTAGCATGTCTAAGTAGTGTTGTTAGAAATGCATTAGTATAAAAAAAGTAGTTTAGTAGGGTCTTAGTAAAAGTAAGCAACTTAGGTGTGTAAGCAACTTGCCTGTAAAGTATGTTATCTTAGCTAATATAGCTAATTAAGGCCGCAATTGCGTTGTTTAAATTGCTAAAGCTTAGAGAAAAGCCTAATTATAGTAAGGCTGTAAGAAAGGATAGCTGTAGTTAATCTACGCTAGCGCGGCGCCACAAAGGCCTTTAGAGCTCCTATGCACAGAAAAACAAAAATTAACAACTTCTTAACAACATATAAGAAAAAGAGCTTGTTTTATATATTAATAAGCTTTATGCAAAAGGACTACTGCCATTAAGGCAAATAGTACACAATTTTGCATTAGAAATAGCTAAGATATAAGTAAGTAAAGCCTAGGTTAATTACTTTATTAAAAGGCATAATATTAACTTTGTATTATAATAGACATCTAGCATAGATACTACCTGCAAAAGGGCTAACTCTGCATTTAAATATACGCTTTATTTTAAGCTTCTTAAAAAGAAAATTAAGTAGTACAAGATAAAGCTATAACACATGTTGTCAGATATGCGCACCTACTGTCAAGACAGGAGGAACGTTTGACGAAAGCTGCTACATAGTACGAGCAATAAGCTCGAACAGTATGTTGCTGCAAATTGCTGCATTTTGCAGCATTTTGCAGCATTTTGCAGCATGTTGCAGCAAATTGCAGCATGTTGCAAGCTGGTCGCGCATAGGGCTAGTGCGCGAGGGACTTGGATCGGAAAAACAAAAGCCGAGCAACACAAGTAGAGCAGAAAAAGGATTAATAAATCACAACAATTAATACAATTAATTAATTATCCTATACATTATATCTAAACCTATTATTTATCTTAGGAAGCCTAGAAACAGTGCTTTAATCTAACAATTAAGAGTCTTAGTGCCTCTATTAATACAAAATGGCCACCCAGCCTCCTCGAGACGCGACAGTCGTCCTTCGAGACCACACTGACTACAGAGCCTGGATGATGCAGCTGCAATTGAGATGTGTAGCGCACAGCATCTGGCCGCAAGTGGATCCTAAGTTGACCATCTAAATGATCTCTAAACTAAGAGCTCTAGAGATGCTGCTAATAGCTAAGTTTTTACTAGCCTTTAATGTTAAAACGCCTACGCACATAAACAAGCTATTAATAAGTAGTGTTAGAGCCTTTAAAGAAGCTATTAAATACTACAAGATTAAGGCTAACAAGTATAAGAGTAATAGACATAATTATAAAAGAGAGTAATTAAGCTTCTAACAGATTATTATCTTTATCTAGTTAATAGTTAGCCTGCATTTGCAGTGTACATGCTGTTCTCTAAATTAACTACTTAGATAGTAGATTACAAACCTTAAAGCTATAGTAAGTGTTAATAACTAATTTAAATAAAAACATGTGCGCAACTAATATAATGCATCTTTAAAGCTGCTAAAAAACATAAGTATATAGAACCTGTAGCTAGTAAAGTATAATTACGCTGCTATAGAAGTAGAGACATAAAATGTTCTAGAAACAACGCAGCTTAATGCTGTAGCAAAGGACTTTCTAACTACTATAAATAAAGTTACTTTTTATTAGTTTATAACTTTTTAGGAAAGTAGACAGTTTGCACTAAACATAAATTAAAAAAAAATAATAAAGCGCTTTTAAGAATATATAATGTTAAATTATCTAATACATATAAAAAGCATAAAGCTGCCTTTATAATAGATAACTTGTTATACCTTACTAAAAGTAGAAAAACTACTTAGGGCATAAATAAAGACACCTGTAGTGCAGAAGTTGCAATGTTAAAAAAATAAAGTAGACCTTAACATTAACATTATTAAGAAAATAATAGAAAGTTATTTTTAAGCTAAAAACCTGCTAAAACAGGAGGCACTAAATGTCCTACATATAGACACATTTATGTACTAAAGGACTGCTTCTATGTCTATCTAGACAGAGCACTAGACTAGTAGATGCTAAATAAGAAAGTTAAAGAGCTTATAGCATTAAAGCGTAAGCATAACTTAGAATTTTAAGGCCTACTAAGAGAGCAGCGTAGACATAATTTAAAGATACTAATTTTAAAGAGTTTATATACACTTACGCTAGAGATATAAAAAGACTAACTTAAAAGCTAAAAAGTATTAAGAGTTAAGGTAGCTATATTACTAGCTATAGTTAATTTAAACTAGAATAGATATCTACTAAGAGAATTATTTATCCTTAACTTAAGCTTAATATGCTACATTATAAATAATCTTAATTAAATTTATAACTATTATTTACTAATACTAAAAGACTTTATTTAGTCTAGAAACTCTTACATATAGATTTAAAGCTATAGATTAATTACACTAAGCTTAAAAAGTAAGCATAGAACACATAGTTAAGTATACAGTCTTATACTTTATAACGCTGCACTATGCCTAGACCTGCTGTGCAACCTAGTCTTATTTTGCTTACTGCAACAGAAAGGAATTTAGTAGGACACATAAGCAAAGCTAACTGCTTTAAAGGCTTTAGATAAGATAATAATTAAAGATCTTATAAAGATCTATAGCTAATAAGTGTTAGAGTACTATCTACTATAAGAGGGCTTATATTATACACACATAATTAACATAAAAACTAAATATAGTCTATAAAAAGCATTAGCAGAGCTATAGCATAAGCGTCTAGGACACTTTAGACTAGCTACACTTTAACACCTTATATAGTAAGCTAAGGGGGTGTAAATTAAAGAAATTACAACAGTTTAATATAACTTATATAGTAAAGCTAAGATATAATAATAAATTAGCTATACACTATAAATTAGTAATAGTAGACTTAGTAAAAGACTGTTAATTAATTTCTATATATATAAAGCATAGAGCATTATAAAAAAGTAAAGTTAAATGCTAATTACTAACAAGTATTCTAGCCTCTAGTAGGACCTCTACTTTAAAAATAATAAGCTTACTAAATTAATTATTAAAGCTTTTATAATTTTTATTTTTTTTTTAAAGAACTATTATAATATTACTATAAAAGTTATTAAAGCTAATAATAAGATTATAATAGTAAAACTAGAGGTAGAACACTAGCTAGCATTATATAGAATAACTGTTAAGCCTTTAGCACTAGATACATAAGCCTAGAATAGAGGAGCTAAACGCTTAAAGAGTGTAAATAAGAAGAAGTTATAGGCTATGTAACTAAATGCTAACTTACTATAGAACATATAGCTATATATTACTAGAGCTAGCGTATACCTATACAATTAGACGCTAAACTATGCTAACAACTAGAAAACACTATACAAGATCTTCTTTACATAAGCAGCTTTAAATAATAGAGTTGTTATGTTAATTTAAAAGCTAAGCTTTACATATTTAAAAGCCTATAGCTATAAAGTATTTATAATAACTAATAACACGCATTAGAATAAATCTAAGCTATAAAGGCTAGACCTAAAGGCGTAGATTAGATATCTAGTTAGGTACTAATTGTTAAACATCTACTATGTATAGATACTACTGCTAGTAAAAGTAATTTATACACATAACATTATTTTTAATAAACACTTAATCTTTAGCAGTAAGCCTAAAGACTTAATAGATAACTTTATATATAACATAGTAAAAGAAATTACTATATATATTAAAATAATTAAGCTTCTAACACCTAGTTATTAGCTAGAGATAGAGTTGTTCTATAAAAACAACACTGCAGATAATATATTAAATTTTAATAAAGTAGACCTACTAGGCTACTATTAAGGAAGGAAAATTAGAGATAACTATCTGCCTCTTTTAAACACTCTGCTACCTGCAGCATTGCTTATGCAGTTAATAGCTAGAGCAGCACTAAAGCTAAGCTAAATAGAGTTGTTAAAGACTGTACTATAGGCTGCAGCCTTTATAGCTAGCATAAGATTTAGAAGTGTAGGAAAGCATAGCAGCAAGATGCTATTTAAAAGGAAGACACCTTATAGAAGCTAGCTGCCACCTCTGCTATTAACCTAAAAGCAACTAGAGGAGCACCCTCTACATAAGATGTTTAAGGCAGCAGAAAGAACGCACCTAGACAGTTATTAGATAATAAAATCCTAGACAGAGGTCTAGACAAAGCTAATTAAGGCAGCCAGACAGCAGATCCTAGATTGTATGTAGGTGTACACCTATAAGCTTAATAAGCACTATAGATTGCAAAGATGTAAGGCGCAACTAGTAGTCTACAGTAATTAACAAAGAAACATTACTACATAAGATACCTACGCTGCCACCCTAGCAGAACGCTTATTTTAAATGCTAATAGCAATATCTGCACGCTTTAACCTAAAGCTTAAATAATATAACGTAACTAACGCGTTTATACATGCAGCAATTAACTGCAATATCTACATGCAGATGCTAAGAGGCTATTAAAAACTAGGTATAATACTAAAGCCTTAAAAAGCACTATATAGCCTATAAATTTCTCCTTTACTCTAGCAACGCTATTTTATAACAACCTTTAAAGGCCTTAGGTTCTTAGCTGTTCTACATAAACCCTGCTGCATAACTAAAGCTAGAATATTTGTCTTCTTTTATGTAGACAACCTTATTATTGCGCATAAAAAAGGCTCTAAAGCAAATGCACAGCGTGTAGTAGACTAGTTATAAGAGAAGTATACCCTAATAGAAGGCAAGGACCTATAATAGTTCTTAGGAGTTAAAATTATTAAAGATTAATAGCAACAAATAATTTAGCTGTCACAGGCCTTATATATTAACAAGATAGCTAGGCTAGCTAATAGAAAGGACCTGCAGCATACTACACCTATAAGTGGGATTAAACTTATGCTGTAATCTAGTTTTGCAACCCTATTAGAGGTAAATTAATATTAGCAGAAGATTAGATCTCTACTCTTTGCAGCAGTTACTATAAGACTAGACATTGCCTTTACTACATCACGCCTCACACAGTTTCTTACAAATCCCGCATCTAACTATTAGGATGCAGCTAATTAAGTCATCCTGTACCTACATGCGACACAGACGTACGCACTCTAATTAGAAGGAGAAGACTACCTTATAGTAGCAAGCAATGCGTTATTTGCAGACAACACACTAGATAAAAAGAGCTCTTAGGGCTATGTTATTTAACTATTTAGCAGATAAATTGCATAGTAAGTAAATAAATAAGATACAGTCACAACATTAACAACAAAAGCAGAATTACTTGCACTGTCCTAAGTTGCTAAGGAAGCTATGTTTATAAAAATGCTCTTTAATAAACTGCAGGTTAAGCTGCCTAATTTAACTATTATAATCTAGTGCAACAACAAGCAGACAATCTAACTAGTAAACAAAGAGATATCTTAACTTTAAACCAAGCTCTGACATGTCAACATCCATAACCACTGGCTCTGACAGGAAGTCTCTTAACAAACAATTAAGGTTGTCTATGTCCCCTCCAGCGAGATGCTTGCGGACGGACTCACTAAAGCGCTTCTAGCTAGCAAATGGCCAAGCTTTCTTTAGCAAATTCAGCTAGTTGACGTCAGGGAGAGGATGGTCAGTCAGGAAGCGGATATGGAAGAGATTGAAGCAAAAATGGAAGCCCTGGAAGCATACTAAGGATGCGCAATCGGGAACCAGCTTGAAGCATGTCCAAGCTGAGGGGGCGTGTCAGATATGCGCACCTACTGTCAAGACAGGAGGAACGTTTGACGAAAGCTGCTACATAGTACGAGCAATAAGCTCGAACAGTATGTTGCTGCAAATTGCAGCATTTTGCAGCATTTTGCAGCATTTTGCAGCATGTTACAGCAAATTGCAGCATGTTGCAGCAAATTGCAGCATGTTGCAAGCTGGTCGCGCATAGGGCTAGTGCGCGAGGGACTCGGATCGGAAAAACAAAAGCCGAGCAACACAAGTAGAGCAGAAAAAGGATCAATAAATCACAACAATCAATACAATCAATCAATCATCCCATACATCATATCTAAACCCATCATTCATCTCAGGAAGCCTAGAAACAGTGCTTCAATCTGACACATGTACACTATAGATAAAAAAGGCTTCTTAATTAGTGTACTATTAAAAATTAAAAAAATCTTCTTCTAGTGTTAATATAAAAAAAGAGGCATTAAATAAATTATCTAGGATAGTAATTAAAAGTAGATAATAATAATTGCCTATATTTATGCTAATAAGACTTCTCTTACTTTAGCCTTAATTTATTAAGCTGTTTTGAAGAACATATAGGATACCTAGCTATAGGACTTTAACTCTACTATATATAAAGCATTTTTTGTTTTATCCTTTAGTAGATAGACAAATAACAAGCTTAGGCTAGTATAGTTAAAGCAGGTGTTTAATTATAAAATAAAGAATAAGACTTAATAATTCTATTAACTATTAATCCTAAATAGCTATAGATTGCATGTTATAATAGAGTTTATTAAGTACTGCAATAATGATAAAATCCTTCTAGCTATCTATTTACTACATTTAACTTATACCTTACAGCCTTTAGATGTTTACATGTTTAAACCTTTTTTAACAGCCTACTTAGCTAAGCTTACTAATTTTATTTACAGATGCTAAGGTTTATTATTAATTATAAAAAAAGACTTTTTCTGCCTATTTATTAAAGCCTACCAGATGTTATTTACGTCTAAAACAATACTTAAGAGCTTTAAAAAGTGTAGACTAGCTTCTTTTAACCTAGAGACTATATTAAAGTAATTTAATGTTAAAACTAATAATTAGTTATCTTCTAGTAATAGTAGTACTTTAGTACTAAGCGTGTTAGATTAGAGAAAGATTAAGAAGCTTTTATGTACAGCAGTAAATAATATAAATAAGAAAGAGAGTTATTAACTTAGCTAAACAATCTACATAATCTTAGTGTGTAATAATATTCTTTAGCATAAAAATAAGCAACTTAAAAAGGCCCTAATTAATAAAAAGAAGCGCAGGCAGTGTAGTAAACCCCTTCTACTTTAAGCACCTCTAGAGTACTACAGTAGTGCAGTCTTTTAGTTGCTAACTAAAGTAAAAAACACACATAAATATTAAGCTTAAAAGAAGGCTAATAAGAGGGCTAAATAACTCTAAAAGAATAAAGCAACTAAGCTTAAAAAGGTAAATAAAAGGGCTAAAGCAAAGATATTAGAGAAGAGAAAGTGTATAAAGGCAATAGCAAAGAAGATCTAACTCTAAGAGCAGCGCGTAAAAGCAGCTGCTAGAGAGGAGGTAAAATATTAACACTAAGCAGCTGCGCAGCTTAAAAAGGACATCTAAGACAATAAAAAGAGTAAACAGAAGGCTAATACACTATTTAGTAGTAATAAAAGTAAATTAGATAAAGTTAATAAAGATTTATTAGTTATAAAGCTCTTTACACTACTACTAGCTTATAGTTAACGCAGCAGGCAGATAAACCCCCCTAAAAGGTTTCTTTTATAAATAATTAAGCTGCATAACTTAATTAATTGCTACTCTAAAAAACTGCTTTAAATTACGACTCCTGTAGGCCTGTACAGCTTCGGAAGCACTGGGTGTAACATCTCAAAACTGGGCGTTACGCGAGCCTGGGCGCCAAGTGATAAAATACGGTAGGCTTGCGCCACAGGTCTAACAGCCCATCACAAGTAAATCACACAGTGATTATTATGTAGGGTGAGGGGGGGGTTTCGCACTAGCTGAAATTAGTAGTTAGTTTGATCGGAAGTACTGGCTAGGTCAGCGGCCTTGGATGAATTTGCGCGTGACAGTAGGCGTAGGGTTAATAATGGCTTCCTATCTATTAAAAAAGGCTTTATGGCTCAGGTAAGACCCTTGCATATAAGCGGTAAAAGCCTAATAGTGGTACTGCGGCAAACAGAGTTTGTTTTGCAATAAAAGAAGGCTTGAAGTGAATCAGGCAAGAAGGCGACAAGGCGAATATAATTTATTGATTAAAAACATATTAGCTTAGATGTTTGGAAGAACCACAGCACATTATTTACACAACTATAGCGAAGTAAGGTATGTGTGCGGAGTTATAGTCCCTTGAAGTCAAAGTACGCCTCATATTTTCCGGTACGGTGGGTTTCCCGGCACGTAGAGAGGAGACGTTACCAGCTGGGGTGGCGATCTTGTATGAACTTGCGCGATAGCAGGCGTAGGGTTGACGATGACTTCCTACCATTGTAATAAAGCTTTACTGTTCGGATACGACCCATTTATATATATTATAAGTAGTAAGAGCTTAATAGTAGTGTTGTAGCAAAGGGACAATATTTTAACACAAAAGAAGGCCTTGGGCGAATTAGACGAAAAGGCGGCGATGCGCACGTAATTTTTAGACTAAAGGGGTCTTAGGTGTTTAGAAATAGCTACAGCAGAGAACTTATATAAGATTGGAACAGAGAGCAAGGTATGCACAGAATTAGATTTGTTTGAAGTTGCAATACCCCTTATATTTCTCGGCGCGGGGTGTTTCTCGACCTGCAGTGATGGACGTTAAATTTAAACCTTATGCCTTGCAAAAAGCTGTTACAGTCAAATTTTTACGCAGAAAGTCTGTGAAAAGGTACGGTAGTGCTAAAACAAGAGATATTCTTACGCAACTCAGCAGAAAACTACATTGTTTCTTTTTCTTCTCTTCGTTTTTGGTAAATCTTAAGATTTTATTATAGCTTACGTTCTTGTTTCGCAGTTTATTGTTCGTCCTTTTTACCTGTACCCGCGCTGAGGACTTCGAAGTGCAAGCCGTGCACAGAAATTCCAGCTATTGGTTGAGATTCTAATTGTAACTAGCTTTTTGCAAGTCACAATATTAAACATAGGCCTAATACTTGTCACGGTTAACTGGGACATGGCTCGGGTTCCCCCCGGAAAGCCTTCGTCCTGGCCTTGGGCACATGACATCCCGTCACGTGCCCCAGTACATACATATATATCCTTTCCTGAGACCCCTCAAGGATTCGCCTATCAATACTATCCTATGCCCCCTTCTATACTGCATAGTTCCTGCACACAGTCCTCTCACACTACTGCACTGATACTGCTGTTACAACTTATAAAGCACTCTTATATAGGATAGCAGTAATATTAAAGTGTTATAACTAGCTATAAAGCAGCAAAAAGCCCTTGATTTATATAAGGCTCTGTTAATTAGTACTTCTAGTTGAGGGGACAGCTAAACTTAGGTAGCGCAAGATGGCCCCGCACATCCAGCCTTATTGTTACAGTTTAACTTTTCAGTGATAACTCTTGGTTCTATAGCTGTTGCGGACGATTACCGCCGTAGCCGTGCGTCTGTGCGGTTGTGGGGCGCCTTTTGCCAAGCACTCTGGGGCACCATAAAGTCTGACTCCGGGAGCAGGACTGGGCTTCTAAAGGGCCAGCGCTCGTTAAGATAGCTAATGTAGCGATCTACAGGTGCCAGGGTTCGGCCAATTCTGTGTCCATCAGCCAAGCACGAGGCTGAGGTCAAGCCGCACTCTCTCCACCCCGCCCCACCTGAAAGATGCTCTCCTCTGGTTCATCACTCCGTGGCGCTCGCACGCGGCGAACACCACACACTGTGTGCTTCTATATGCGCAGCTTTCCTCTTTACTCAAAACGACGGGATATCCCGCTAGGCGGGCGGTACACACATGGCAGCGATACATCGCCATGGCTTCACAAGGCTACCAGGCGGAGACACGTGCGCTGACCAGTTCAGATTGAAGTTAGATGGATATTGCTGTATGCATTTCAGTGCGCTTGCTAAGTCTCCTCAGTATAATATTCGTCCACGGCCTTCGCGGCCATCCTCGAGGGACATGGGAAGCCACGCCGGTCGCAACCAGCCAGCCCAGTAGTGATGCGACCAAGAAACGCAGAGGCGTCAGGTCGTGGTTCCAGCAACGAGCGGCCGCGTACCCCTCAAGCGCGGAACATGCGAATGCCTCGTCGTCCAGCGTCTTCTGGCCAGAACAGTACCTTGCGTCAGATATCCCCCAAGCCAGAGTCTGGACATACGGGTACAACGCAGATGTTATTGGCGGCTTCTTCCAGGCAAATAACAAGAATAGTATTTCCCAGCATGGCCGGGATCTGTCAGTCAGACTGGAAAGGGAGATCGACAACAGTGTATGGTAACGACTCCGCGTTAGCTTGGAACAGTTTCTAACAGCCTTAACAGCAGCCAATCGCGTTCGTAGTGCACAGTCTCGGGGGTATCATCGTCAAAGACGTACTCTCTCCATGAAACCCTTGTTAATCACTGCTTATATATATTGCAGGCCATTCATCGATCGGAGAAAATCCGCGAACAGACGAGGCTGATCATCTTCCTCGGGACGCCGCATCGCGGGAGCGTATATGCCGGCTGGGGTCAGATCGTGTCGAATTTGGCACGTTTCGCCTTCCAAGACTCGAACAAGAAGATGCTTGAGGCGTTGGAGGTGAACAGTGAGGTGCTCGACAATATCCATGAGGAGTTCAAGACGATTATGTTCAAGGGCGGGATCAAGATTCATTCATTTCAGGAAGCACGAGGAATTTTCGGTATGAAAGGGCTGGGTGAAAAGGCACGTTATTCACGAACATTGTGACATTTATACCCTAATCTTCTTATCTAACGCAGGCAAGTGCAGGTTGTGGACGACTTCTCGTCCAAGCTCGATCTTCCTCGGTCGTTGGAGACAGTGGAAAGCATCGATGCAAATCACATGCAGATGGCTAGATACAACAGCAAAGACGATCAGGGATACCGTGCCGTATGTGGTGTTCTCAGGAGCTTTATCCTACAGGAGCTGGAGAGTAAACAAATAGCACCCGCTGGTGGGGCAACCATTTCTTATATGTAATTGCATAGATTATCGAGCGTAATGATTATGGAAGCTTACTATGGACCTCTAGCACCTCTAAGCGGGCCTTCAGGGCGACATGAGCCCCTTGGTGGTTTACCCAACGCCGCGAACGCAACCTTCAACTCGTTTGCAAAGCAGCACGAACTCACTTGCCTGGCCGGCACGCGCATCGACCTCTTGCGTGAGATCTATAGCTGGGCTGACGGACGAGACGGGCGGCACATCTTCTGGCTGAGCGGCCTAGCGGGCACGGGAAAGTCGACGATCTCGCGGACGGTGGCTCGCAACTACCACACCCCTCAGCGTCTCGGCGCCAGCTTCTTCTTCTCGCGAGGCGATGGCGACGTTGGGCATGCTGGCGCATTCGTTACGAGCATCGCGGTCCAGCTTGCACACAACGTCCCAGCATCTCGCCAGCATATCAGTAGTGCCGTAGCAGAGCGCAGCGACATTGGCAGTCAGTCTCTGCGCGACCAGTGGCATCATCTCGTCCTCGGTCCACTGTCGAAGCTGGAAGGGCCGTTGTCATACATATTAATTGTTGATGCGCTCGACGAGTGCGACGATGAAAATAATATCCGACTCATCGTCCAGCTCCTGGCCGAAGCTCGCTCGCTAGAGAGTGTGCGGTTGCGGGTGTTCCTGACAAGCAGGCCTGAGGTGCCGATTCGGCACGGCTTCAGTCAGGTACCACATGCGGAGCACAAAGACTTTGTGCTGCACAACATATTGTCGTCGATTGTTGATAACGACATAAGCCTTTTTCTGCAGCACTACCTTCGCATCGTTGCACAAGAGCGTAGGTTGGGTGCTGATTGGCCAGGCCTAGATACCATTGAACAGCTGGTCCGGCGTGCATCTGGCCTGTTCATCTGGGCCGCAACTGCCTGGCGATTCATCCGTGATGGGAAGCGATTCGCCATCAAGAGACTCGAGACGATCCTTGCAAGCGACAGTAGCACTGCCGCAGCTCCAGAGAAGCACCTCAACGAGATCTATGTCACTGTGCTCAAGAACTCGATTGACCCAAACTACACAGACGAAGAGAGCGAAGAGCAGAGTAGCATGCTGAGGTCTACTCTTGGAAGTATAGTGACCTTGTTCTCCCCTCTTTCTGTTAGTTCTTTAAGCAAGTTACTCCATGTCCCGAACCAGGATGTCGATCAGACGCTAGAGGATCTACATGCCATCCTAGATATCCCGAAGGATCCAACATGCCCGCTCCGCCTCCATCATCCATCATTTCGCGACTTTCTCCTGGATAGAGACAGATGCGGCGACGCCAGCTTCTGGGTAGACGAGAAACTGGCGCATCGGACTTTGGCAGATAACTGCATCCAGCTTATGGCCACTTCTCTCAAGCAAGACATCTGTGGCGTGGATGCTCCCGGCATGCTTGTAGTCGACATGGAGAGAAGCCAAGTCGAGCGAAGCCTTCCTCCCGAGCTGCAGTATGCATGCTTGTACTGGGTCCAGCACGTTCAGAAGAGCGGCACGCAGCCTGGCGACAATGACCAAGTGCACCAGTTTTTGCAGAACCACCTCCTTCACTGGCTCGAGGCCCTTGGGTGGATGGGGAAAATATCCGAAGGAGTTCACGCTGTCGCCTCTTTAGACTCGTTTGTCTCTGTTAGTATACCACCAGCAAAGAAAACGGGGTTTCGTTAACATTTTGGCTAGTCGAGCGAATGCCTCTCAGGTTTGATCCACGATGCGAAGCGGTTCGCCCTCTACAACCGGGCAGCGATTGAACAGGCGCCTCTTCAGACGTATAGCGGGCTCGTATTCGCACCAACGAAGAGCATAGTAAGGGAGACGTTTAAAGGCTGCATACCCCAATGGATTCGAAGGCTGCCAAGGGTCGAGGAAAAGTGGGACGCAGTGCTGCAGACGCTCGAGGGCCACAACGACGGGGTCAACGCGGTAGCCTTCTCGCCAGACAGCAAGACGCTAGCGTCGGCATCGGACGACAAGACGGTCAAGCTGTGGGATGTCCAGTCGGGCGCGGTGCTACAGACGCTCAAGGGACATGACGACTGGGTCAAGGCGGCGGTATTCTCGCCGGACGGCGAGACGCTGGTCTCGGCATCGCACGACACGACGGTCAAGTTGTGGGATGCTGGGTCGGGCGCGGCGCTACAGACGCTTGAGGGCCATAAGGGCGAGCTCAGGGCGGTGGCGTTCTCCCCGGATGCCAAGTCGCTGGCGTCGGCATCGGAGGACAAGACGGTCAAGATGTGGGATGTTGGGTCGGGCGCGGTGCTGCAGACGCTCGAGGGCCATGAGGGTGAGGTCAGAGCGGTGGCCTTCTCACCAGACGGCAAGACGCTGGCCTCGGCATCATACGACAAGACAGTCAAGCTGTGGGATGCTGGGTCGGGCGCGGTGGTGCAGACGCTCGAGGGCCACAACGACGGGGTCAACGCGGTGGCATTCTCGCCGGACGGCAAGACGCTGGCATCGGCATCGGACGACAAAACGGTCAGGGTATGGGATGCTGGGTCGGGTGTGGTGCTGCAGACGCTCGAGAGCCACAACGACGGGGTCAACGCGGTGGCATTCTCGCCGGACGGCAAGACGTTGGCATCGGCATCGGACGACAAGACGGTCAAGCTGTGGGATGCTGGGTCGGGCGCAGTGCTACAGACGCTCAAAGGCCATGAGGACTGGGTCAACGCGGTGGCCTTCTCGTCAGACGGCAAGACGCTAGCGTCGGCATCGGACGACAAGACGGTCAAGGTGTCGGACGCAGGTACGGGCGCGGCGGTGCAGACGCTCGAGGGCCATGAGGACTACGTCAACACGGTGGCCTTCTCGCCGGACGGCAAAACGCTAGCATCGGCATCGGACGACAAGACGGTCAAGCTGTGGGATGTTGGGTCGGCTGCGGTGCTACAGACGCTTGAAGGCCATGGGGATTTGGTCAGAGCGGTGGCCTTTTCACCAGACGGCATGACGCTGGCGTCGGCATCGCACGACTGGATGATCAAGCTGTGGGATACCGGGTCGGGGGCGGTGCTCCAGACACTCAAGGGCCATGAGGACTGGGTCAATGCGGTGGCCTTTTCGCCGGATGGCAAGACGCTGGCGTCGGCATCGCACGACAAGACGGTCAAGCTGTGGGACGCCAGTCCAGGCACTGTGATACAGACACTCGAGGGCCATGAGGGCGGGGTCACAGCGGTGGCCTTCTCGCCGGACGGCAAGACGCTGGCATCGGCATCGGACGACAAGACGGTCAAGCTATGGGGTGCTAGTTCGGGCGCGGTGCTACAGACGCTTGAGGGCCATGAGGGCGAGGTCACGGCCATGGCCTTCTCACCAGACGGCAAGACGCTGGCGTCGGCATCGTACGACTGGACAGTCAAGCTGTGGGATGCTGAGTCGGGTGTGGTGCTGCAGACACTTCGTATTAGCTATCTCGTCTACAAACTGTCTTTCTCCAAGGACGGTGCCTTTCTCCAGACGGACTTGGGGCCTTTGCCTATTTCAGCAGAGACTCTTGCTGATGGTGTACCTGCCAACAGTTCACATCTTCCTGCTTCTATTCATGTCCAGGGTCAATGGGTCTACTGCTGTACCGAGCGCATCTTTTGGCTTCCTCCCGAGCATCGGCCATATTGTGTAGCTGATCATAGGGGTGTTGTTAGTTTCGGATACGCGTCTGGAAGAGTTATAATGATGGAATTTACATTATGATATTCGGTTTCACTTTGCCTTGCCTCCTCCTCGCCCGCCTCTATTACAAATTGCCGAGTTTTGTACGCTACACCTATAACGGTGGCAACCCATGAGAAACGTTTCGATTACAGCTACATAGCCTTTCCACTTTCAACATGCTTGCAACCACAGCTCTTTACTATTCTCAATCCACTTACCGAAGGCTGTATCGAAAGCTGACGAAGCAGCAATCGTTTGGGACATGAGCCCTGCTCCCAATTTGAAGTCGGATTTTCTGGTGTCCCGGCAGTCTTCACAAATACAATACACAGCAAAATTAAGGTTGAATACGCAGGGTATCATGCCCTAGCTAGGTTTAGCTGTTTCTTTTACTAGCAGTACTAATTTTTTTATTAGCGTAGCAGCACTGCATAAATTAAGCAGTACATGCAGCCTTACAGCTAATAACGGCTCCTTAGTATTACTAGTTAGTAGATTTGTAGGCCTGTGTAAGGGTGCTTTATAAGCTGCAACAGCACCAGTAGCGCAGAAGTAGCCTATGTTAGACAAGTTTTGCTTTTACTATAAGGACAGGCTCTTTATAAATTCGGCAGGCAGGCGCCTCTACAAATGTATGTTTTGTCGCAGGTATGTTATAGCTATCTGACCCCTGAGTTCCCTAAGGGCTACCCCTGCCTCTGACCCTAAGGATTACTCTCTCACTGTCTCTTTCTACCTCTATCCTGCATTTCCCCTCTTGCTTTGTGCTTCCTGCTCGATACATCTCTCACTTTTTGTATTAGCATAGTTACCGGGTTTAGGAGTGGTCAAAACATGTTATAAAAGGGTAGTATTATAAAAACTACCGCGTCCGCAAGCTTACTATTACTGCGAAGTTAAAGTACTAATGTTTTTTTCTGTTACGGCGGTTGTTCTGTTACAAGCAGATGCACTTGTCTAAATGCATGACGCTCTAGAGCACTTACCAATTCAAGTACCTCAAAAATATTCTTTTTACATATAACCACTTTTCCCACTTCTCCATCTTCCTTTACTTCTACTTTGTGCACCTCGCCCTCTTTCTCCACGTCGCCACTTTCTGCCGACTTCATGCCCCTCGACCTCCTCCCTCTCAGCTCGTCTTTACTTCCTCCACCAAAGCTACCTTGTTCTGAATACGCTTACCACAAGCGATCGGCACCCATGTTGAATCCTCAGACTCCACTAAAACGCCTTTCGCCTGAGGCACGGTTTCATGATTAAGCTTAGTCAATACGCCTTCGCCTTCTTCGCCCCCTGTTTTCGAACGGCTTTCCTAGCATGAGCACGAGGGGTGGTGCTTCGTCATCTGAGCCGTAAGAGCTTGTAGAGCCTTCCAACGATGTAGGTTTTGAGTCTCGGTGATGAGAAACGTGTAGGTCTTGGAGGAAATGAACTCTCTTCACCTCCTGGGCTGGGCGCGAGTTCGTACTCGTGAGAGGAGAGGTTTGTCGTAGGAACTAGACGAGTTTGAAGAACTTGTAGTGGTTTTCCGCATTAGTGAGGACAAGGGTTTTTCAGACTCTGGAGAGCTCGCGCCTGGTGATCTTCTCGGATTCTTCTTCCCTCTAGCTAAGGCTCGTGTGCGTGAGGTGAAAGATTTGTCGTCTGATATGGGGGAACTTGACCGTTTGGAGGAGCGGGGGATGGCTCTTGGCCCCCTGGTCAGATTCGAATAACCAGCCCTGGTCTTTGGAGCACATGTTATGGTGGGTGTGGAAACAATATCACCCTTATCGTCTGCATCTCCATCATCCCAACCGTCATCGCTACCATCGTCGCCATCATTTCCCGAGGTCTTTTCGTTGTCTTTTTCGCTATCTCTATACTTAGTGTTAGGGTCTTCGCTATAGTTATCGCTATCCGACCCCTTCTCTCTCTTCCATTTCTTCAAATGCTCGTCCCTCTCTTCCTGGCGTTGTACAGCGGTTCCCATCTTCTCTATCTGCTTAAGGTATTTCTTAGTGGGCACCTTCTGAAGAGCCTTTGTTTTGAGGCCCTTTAAAATACTCTCTTCTCTCCTGATATCATCGTCATTAGCAAAGGGGCCAGCCTTGATCTCCGCTGCACTCTTCCCAATCCACCATAGCGGATCTATTAGTCCATAGCCCACTGTGTCTTTGCGTGCAGCCCCGATTTTGTAGCATTCGGCTTCAAAGTTAGTGTATATGAGGTCGGCTAGGCCTGCTTTGTGAGCTTGTCGGAGAAGATCGAAGGCTTCGGCTTCGTGGTCTGCTACCGAGTTTACGGGGATAGTGAGTTGGTGGTGGACAAGAATAGATTGGCCGACAGCGAGCATTCCTCGAGTATATTCTATCGCTTCCTGGATGCGCTTGACTAGTGGGTCAACAGGGTTGTGTTCTGACCGTGGGGGTGGTGACTCAGAGCTTTCGTAATTTTGAATGATCTCGAGGGCATTGAGCTCATGAGGCCAATTTGAGTTATGGGGTTGGATCGGTTTGGGTTCGTCGCTCGCGTTTTGCTCCGAGTCCGAAGGTGATGATAATGTATTCGAATAGTTCTCGAAGAGCTTCATTTGCCGCTTGCGTTTAGGTTTCATTCTTTTGGGTAACTCTATTTCAAAAGAACTTTCCTCCTCCGGCAGTCGCTTTCTCTTCCGATTTGGAGGACGATGGACGTCAGCCAAGCCGGTATCTAATCTAGATGAAGATGATCTCGACTTTAGAGCGGGTTTATAGCCTCCATAGTCTGTAGCTTCGACACAAGTGCGCTTCCACCTTCGGGTATAGTCCGACGAAGTGTTCTTTCGATTTGGCATGTTGTTGGGTCTCTTGCTGATTTTGTAACAGGGGACCGAAAGACAGAACTGGTGGGAAAGAGAATATCGTCGTGTTAGGGGTTAGATATGAACTAAAAAAATACTGTCGATACTGTTAATAGGATAAAGGAATCTAAAAGTAGTTCAAGCCTACAATGTTATTGTTTGATTCTGACAATGAAATTATTGTGGCTTCGATGTTCATTTAACGGCGTTGAACTGGACTAGGACCTTGAAAGAGTTGAAGGAGTTGAGAGAGGGAGATTAACGGCTATTTTAATTCACTCTCTTCGTAAGAACAAAATCCTATTGCCGCTAGTAACGCCTTAAAAGCACTACTGACAGTAACAGTTACGTTCTTATTAAACATCATGTCGGCAGCGCAGCTCGCAACGCAATCTCTTAACAACCCTGGATTCTTCTACCGACCAAAAGAAAGACGAACTAACGCGAGATAATAGATGACTCCTCTAGGTCCAAGAGCCATACCAATATCTCACCCAACTACATCGAAATTTTGATATTTATGAACGAAAGAAAGAGACGGCTCCAGATCTTCTCCATTTCCGGTAGATTGGGATCGCATCACCCCCAAGTAATGGTTTCTGGATACTGCAGCCATGACGACAGAGGATTATGTCGCTTCTTTGCTTGATGGTGGAGATTCTGAGGCTATCTTTAAGCCTTTTAGGGAGGGTAGTGGTGTCTGTGGAGACTCCCACAATGACCTTGATGAACCGTTGGGATTTACGCAGCTCTTACTTCGGCAGCCACAATACCCGCCAGTAGTAACAGGCAGGACAGATGCTCATCCCAAATTTCTTCAGTCGTTCATTGAGACTCCCGCAGGGGGCCTCAAACCGGATATCCTTGCAGCTGCACAAAGAGCTTTAACCGATTAGAGCGAAGAACCAGCTGCTAGATACTCCATGGAGAGGATTGAGTATGAAATAAAATCTAAAACAGAAAGAGCTTGAATGAGGGCGGTTGTCCTAGGTTGGAAAACTACGGCTCCAAACATCCGAGCACTTGTCCGCTTGATGGACTGAACAAAGAGAAGGAGCCGCAAGTGTGCAGGTATTGGCAGCGGTTTGCATGCCTTTTTGATAAGGCGCGAATAGCATTTGGTGGTGTTCGGCTAAGCATGACAACCTAGGCTTTAGCAGGACGGGATTTTCGGCAGGCCCCACCAAAAGAAATCAGCCCTAGCCTATCGTGGTGCTATCTGTGGTGTTGGGAGAACGGATATTATTGCATTATTTATTATATAAGATATGCAGAGCCTTTCCACCTTTGTGTATGCTTGCAGCCACAGCTCGAATAGTGACACTCAATCCACTTGCTGAAGCGCAAGCGATCCTGATACTTAAAATCTTGCCAGCCTGTGTCCACTGCGATATCCGTTGTGTGAGACCCTCTGCTGCCTCAGGGGTCTCCTCCCTCGTTATATTCCCCTTTAACGAGCTGAAGCAATATTCGGCTACTGTTTAGTATACGTATCGGTTACAGGGTGCTCGAGAAGCACGCGGACGCGATGGGCTTGAGGAAACCTCACGTCCGGGCAGCGGTAGACCTGCGGAGCCGAAGGTGGCGCGATGGTTTGTCTCTATATCAAGTAAGCGTAAGCTGGACGCAGTCGTACGTTGGATCTCATCTCGAAGTTGTACAACGGCTGTGTCATTTCGATGCTAGACATGTTAGTTGTTCTTGATAAGTGTCGGGTCCTTGAGATACCTAGCCCTGCTCCCTATCCGATGCTAAATACTACTCGCCGAGCTTAGTATACCCTCGGGCGCTTGGAAAGGGTACCGCCCGCTGCTCAGCCGCAGATCTATTAGTTATTACAAATAACTTACACTGTAATTATAGGGTAGGATGTGCAAAATCATCTTATACTAGCAAACATTGGCAATTTCTTTATTGAAGGTATTAATTAGCATAGTAACCCCACAGAAATTAAGCACCTCTTAAAGCCTTATAGCTAGTTATTACTGTTTAATGTTACTATTATATCTATAGGCTTATACAAGGGTGCTTTATAGGTTGCAACAGTAGTATAAGTACAGGAGGAACTGTATGTTAGGCAAGGTTTACATCCTTTATAAAAACAGACTGTTTACAAATTAGGTAGGTAGCCGTCTATATAAAAGTATTTTATAATTAGCATTGCTACAGAGGTTTAGAAGTTATCTTAGCATGTTGCAATGTTGCGAAAATTAAGATATGTATAGACTTGCAAATTGTAATAGGCGAGTGCTTAGGGGTATCTGCTAGAGATTAGCTAGCAGCGTTAGGAAGGACATGAAGCAAACTACAGCAACTTGTAGCAAACTGCAACACACATCAGTTGTATTGCAAGGGGCACACCTAGCTAGCTTGTTGACAACACTACCCCTAAGCTAGACCTAAGCTAGCTAGGTGTTGCGGTATAAAACCTAATTCCGAAGCGAGGACGCAGTTCCTCTTCTTCATCGAATTCAACACTGCTATCAGGCATTTGCTAGCTGCGCCAAGCCATTACACAAATACTGCAAAGTTAAAGTACAAATGGGTTTTCTGTTGCAGCGGTTGCTATGTTATTATACTGTTAGATGCATTTTACCTATTTAACTTCTTCTATATCTTTATCCATTAGAAACGACAGGTTAGAAAACATTTCATTACTAATCCTAACTCTCCTGTCCTGGGCCCTGTCTCGATACTCGCGTTCTCTTCCGGCGAGGAATTGTAGGTAAGCATGAGGCAAGCTTAGAAACGGTACCAAATCAGTTTCTTGAATCGGAATTTTTATCTCCCATAATGAAGAAGATGAGCCTCAGACAGGCAGCCTCTGAGTCCAACCTCAGTAGCTCCGTTCGAAAGAGGCTGTGACCAACGGGGAAAAGAGAATTGTGTGTCAATTGGTCATCTTCTGGAGAAGTAATAATAACGAGAAATTAAGAGAAAATCTGGCTACGATTTCCAGCCATGACGTTGGTCCAGCAGAGAGCCTTTCGCGGCATCCGGCCTCGCTCGTGAGAAGAAGTCTAAGGTTGTTGGTGTGGAACCCTCCCTTTAAGCTTCAGCGAAGAGGGCCCGATGGCGCGATATCGATGGGCCTTCCACGAGGCATTGATATCAGCGGCGGAATGGTCCTTGTAGTATCGTGGGGTCTGGGTGAGGTGACTTAGCTGGAAGGTTAGCCTTTCGCTAACTCGTCCAGCCACATTCCTAGCACATGGCACAACACATTTCCTAAGGAGCGGGTGGCTGTAACAAAAGACATGACTTTCAATATATACTGAAAATCGTAAACGATGTAGTAGGAAAGACATCTGTTGAACTCCTATCAAGGAGCTGTAAATGAGTTAGGCTCTTAGTATTAACAAGCAGGCAATTTATTCTCCCTTCTAACTTACACCCTAAAAAGATATTCTTTCTTAAAATGCAGGAAAATGTTACTCATCATTAAGGAACCCCAATAAAAAACTTACGAGGACGCAAAACGTAGACTTGTAGGGACATGGGTGTACGAGAAGCGATGTATTGTGGAGTGAAAATCCAAGAAGCTACGTCGTTTATATTGCATATTGAAACCCTATAGTTGATTGGGCAGCCCACCGTAGAGCCTCGGGCTTACGCAGACATTAATGACCAAAAATAAAGAGATTTCCCGAATTCAACATCCCTGGTCTTCTCCTTCAGATCACGTGTTCGACTCAGCCTCACACCGTCGTTTCGGCGAAATGACGCAGAAACCCGGCCAATCTTTACAAACTCCGAACTACCAATCCACGCTGGTCATCATCTCACCTCCCATTTCCACTATGCCTTTCTCAGCCCAACCCCACTCTTTCAAACCCGAAAAAGAATTGTTTCCGTGATCCACAAAACACAGCCAACGGAAGGATTCGAATATAAGAATGAGCCGGCAGATGGGTAGAAGATTCCTAGGCGTCCAACTCCAAATGGCGTGAAGATTATGGATCGCTATTTCCAGCGGAGGAGCCTGAATATGGCAGGATTTGACTTATAGAAAGTAGGAGACCCATGGTACCTTTCGGGGTTCCTTTTACCCCTCCATTTTGAAAACTACTACTTTATTTATTTCATAACCATAATTGCAGGATGCTTAACTCCTTCCTCTCCTTTACAACACTATCCGCGCTGCTCGCAACAGCCATCACCAAACCAATCGATCCACGAGAAGCAGCCTCATGGCCTGACCCCGAGCCTTGCACTGGCAATTGCAGCTACATACACGACCCAAGCGTTCTCCGCAGAAAAGACGGCACCTGGTTCCGATTCTCAACCCTCGGAAACATCGCGATCGCAACCGCACCAGCACTTACCGGACCATGGACATACCAGGGTGCAATGCTTCCCTCTGGCTCGAAAATCAACGTAGTTAAGAACCAGCAGCTCTGGGCTCCGGATGTGTCTAACATCGATGGGACATATTATGCGTATTACTCAGTGTCGCATAGTGGGCTTCAAACTTCAGATATTGGCGTTGCGACGTCCTCGTCACTAAACGTCGGATCGTGGACTGATCACGGCAGCGTTGGAGTCCCGAAGTCGGGCAATTACAATCTCATCGATCCGAATTTCTTCCGGGAATGCGCGAACTGTCAGAATTACTGGTCCTTTGGTTCCGCTTGGAACGATGTGTATCAAACGTCCCTAAATCCAGACTTCTTGACCTGGTCCGGAGTAACCCCAGCACAGAAACTGTTTAATTCCACGGTACCTAAAGGTCAGAATTATCCGAGTATCACGGAAGGCAGTTTCCTATTCTGGTGGCCGGTTAGTGGGACTAAATACTACTACATGTTTTTCTCGAGCGGGGCATGTTGTAATGCTGGAACCGCGCTTGCGCCGCCAGGGGACGAGTATAAAATCATGGTGTGTCGCGCGACATCCCCGACAGGGCCGTTTGTAGACCAAGCCGGCAAGAGTTGTTTGAAGGAGAATGGAGGCACGTTGGTGCTTGGGACGCATGGCGAGAATGTGTATGCACCGGGGGGTCAGGGTGTGGTTTTTGATCAAAGTGTTGGGAGGGTAGCCCTGTATTATCATTATGGTAAGTGGAAAGTTTGACAGTCTTGGAAATCATGGGATTGGGTGGGTTTTGACTAACGGTGACTAGCGAATCCGAAGATTGGGTATGGGTTTGAGAAATTTCTCTTTGGGTTTAATTACCTCGAGTTCGCTTCGGGATGGCCGGTTGTTACCTCATAATGACAATGAATAGAGCGGACAGATATCTGTACAATGAAAAGTTCAGAATTCCATGTCGGATTCAGAATTCATTTAAGATTGCAAACTTATTTTATCAAAGATGGATCCTCGTCAAAATTGTAAACCATAGTCTAGTAACCATGATTCCATGCCCCATCCTGGCATACCCACCACTTCGCCATCCCATCCACCACAACCACAACCCTCATACCTCAACAACCAATCTCTCCTCCCCCCTACTCTCCCTCCATCGATTCGTCGCCTCAACTAACTCCCGACACCCCTTCAACATCCATCCCCACTTCTCCACAAACCCCTCACTAAACTCCCAGCTCTCTTCCCTCCAGGGATCACCCCAAACCAGCATCCCCCGTTGCTTACAATCGTCAAACCCCTCATACAAACCCCCCATAACATCCTCACACCAGTCGTCAACATCCCAAGTCCCGTAGTGCTGGATCAAGTTATCTCTCAGCGGGGGGCTGGGTACAGCGTCGATCCACGGCGCATGGATGGTGGATTTTTGCAGTGGCGTTGGAAGGAGGGATGGTGGGAGGGTGGTTGGGCGCGGGAGGAGTTGGATGGTTAAAGCCGCGCGGCATTCTGCGGGGATGGTGTGCATGATGGAGACGATGGCATGGTTGGTTATTGACGCTCGGAGAACGTTGTATTGGATTAGGGTTATTAGGTAGTGGTCTGGGGAGAGGGGAAAGCGGAAGGGTGGAATGTCGGATTGGGTGAGGCAGCCAAGCGGTTTAAGGTAGGGGATCACGGGGTGAATGAGAGGGGGGTGCTGTTTGTTTGTGGGAGGCATTGGGGAGGAGCTTTCAGCTAGATTTACGCTCATGAGTTCGTGGATAGAAAGCGGTATTCTCTGGACTGGCTTTTTGGATGGAATAAGCGTTGGGCCGACGGCGGTAGCTGGGCATGCGCTTGGCTGAGGTATAAAAGCCGTGGTAGCTTGCGCAAGCGCCTCAGATACCGCATTGGGCTCACATGCTTTAGGACTGGCATTATCAGTTACTTGATGCCATTCCCGTCCACTTGAAGTGGCCGAAGGCTGCGTAGCAGCCTTACGTCGTCCTTATCTAAGATTAACCATATTTCTCATGTGCCGGATTAGGAATTATCTTACGCCAGGCCCTTTGATGTAAACGGTTCTGTATTTTGCGTCGTTCCTTCGCATCCGTTTTCCCCGTCCAGTCATCCGCAAGATCCTTCGCCTACTACGATAAGCCGCAAAGAAATTCCATGTGTAAATAGGAGGTTAGACCCTGACCTCTTTCAGCTGTTCTGTGACTCGTAACAGAATGCCTGTATCCTGTGCCGTCATAATGTCTCGATCAGTTAGGCTTGAGTCTTTCTCCGAGGACGGACGAATCGATTGAACAGTGGTACGAAACCTTGAGCTAAGAGGGTGCAGTAGAGGTTATATGCACTCTGCTTATCCCACAAATACTATATTGGTCCGCCGGGGGGTTGCACCAAAAGGATCGAGAGTCGGAGAGATGCAGGATGAACCACCCCTGCTTCGATGCAGGTTGCTTACGCACTAGATCTCAATTTATCTCAGCAAGCTCAGACGGGATGGGGAGAGAGCCTTAACAAGGGCAAGCCCCTGCTAGTCAATTAGAACCCTGGCTAGTAGCCTTAGTGGCGCAAGCCCCATCTCTCTAGCTAATAAGGGTGTAAGAAAGGCTTTCTCTCCCTAGCTGTTTAAGAGACTTTTATAATTATTTCTTAAATACTATAACTTTACTGCTTACTTTTTATATAAAAGGACCTTTTATTATTAATTTATCTATAACGTACTTCACAGGCGAGTTGCTCACACACCTAAGTTGCTTACTTTGCTAAGACCACACTCTAACAAACTCTATTATAGCCTATAACAACCCGCTCTAGCACTACACAGTATAGTACAGCCTAGAATATTATTTAGATACTACTTCTGCTTCTTGCTTACACATTTATGTGTTATGCCTAGTCTAATTGCACTATCTACAGCGTCTTTAGAATAGCTTACTTACTTTAGCTTATACTTACTTCTTTACTTTTTTTTATTACTATGCACTTTAAACTTTTTTAAAGCTATTAAGTATAAGCTTTTTTAAATTATTAAAGTTTTTTTATATAATTTGTTGGTTGACCTGGGTTCGATCGAACAAACGTACGCCTAAGGGGCGTACTAAGAGGTAAGTAGGCAAAGATCTTCTTGTTATTAACTACTACCCTCTCTTTTTATACAAAGAAAGAGGGCTCTTAAGTACACATAGCCCCTAACACACAGGCTAGATAGCTAATGTTTTAGGCAACCTAATTTAGCTATACGCGTGTA